AGCGCGTGCTGCTGTCTGGGGTTGCCCTGCGGGCCCGACGCCTGTTAAGCCATTATTACGTCGTCGCCACAGCAGGCTTGCAAGGTCGGTCTGGAGGCTCCCATTTCACTGCAGAGGGACTGCATTGAGCGTGCAGAAATCGCCTTTCTCACGCCACCCAGCCAGTGAGGCCCCGCGCTGGAGCTGGAGTTGTTCGCTTGGCTCCAACGACCCCCGGCTCCCTAACTGGAGATCGGCGTGGGGAACGTATCGAGGCTTCGCCGCGGGTGCAGACATTGGTTTGGGTGACAGGTGAAGCCAACTGCTGTTGGTGGGAAGTGATTCACGTCGGTGCTGAGTGTCACTGGCAGCGCCCCAGGCTCCTGTCACCGTGTGCTGCCGCGGAGGGCCGCCGTGATCGTCAGTAACTCCGTTTCTGCTGCGTGCGGCCCCGCTGTGCGCGGGAGCGGATCCTGGGAAAATAACTTCACGTGGGGCGAGAGCGTGTGTTTCCCCCGGCGCCTTGGAGGAGCCGTTGACGGGGTTATTTTCTCCTGATTCTTGGCCTGGGGGTCCCGGCTATGGTTCCCAAGCTGGGCTCTGGGCGGCGGCAGGGGGTGGGGGTGTCCTTTGTTCCTGCCTTCTCCTTCCCATCGGAGACCTCCCCACCGACGCGGCTCACGTTTTACTATGGCAGTAGCTCCTTACATTGATCTCCCTCTTCTTCCTTGTATCCGAAAGATTGCCATTCTCGGTGTATTCTTCAAAAAACTGAATCCGCCTTGAAAGACTATTATGTCTCATATTTCGCGATTCCCTTTATATAATGTTCTTGAAACCACAGAAGTACAGAGATGGAGAACTGGTGGGTGGCTGCCTGGCGTTGGGGTGTCCTGGGGAAGGGAGACTACAGTGGGAGGCAGGAGGGAAATCTGAGCCAGTCTCTGTGTCCTGGTTGGCGGCAGGGGGTGCCGGATGCAAATGTGATAGAATGACTTAGAACTGCAACCGCACTTGACGCCCATGGAGATTCCCTGCACTGTGGGTACACGCGTGTGATCGGTGCGGGGGCTGGGTGAAAGGTACGTGAGACCTCCCTGTACTATCCGCAACTTCACGCGAACCTATTTTAAAATAAAAGGTAAAAAAAAAAAAGAGAGAGATACTGGTGTTGCTTTGTCATACTCACGTTTCCGTCTCTGTTTCCCGCTCAATGATTCAGAGGCATTTCTCAATTTTTTTTCTATCTAAATCTTCTTTGGCATTAACACAATGTTTGACTTGTGCCAAGTTACCAAGAAATGCTTCCTGAAATCACCGGACAATTAAACACGCTTCATGGAAGCTCAGTATATCTGTGCTCGGTCTCCCTGGTCCCTCCTCCCCTTTCTGTCCTCGGTACGTCCTTGTTCAGTCCCTCTGCCTCCACCTACCCACCCCCTTTCCAAGGACTGAGCGGCATGTCAGTGTTGAGTGGCGGCAGGGTCCCGGAGACCTGGGCTTGCCCAGGCCCACGGCCACAGAGCCAAAGTCAGGCACAAATTGTCCAAGGCAATGACATTGGGAGGACTTCAGGCTTAGTGTCCTGCAGGCAGGCTGAGCCTGGAACCTGTGCAGGATACCGGCCAGCAGTATCCATCTCGGCTGCGGACGTTTGTCGAAACACGAGAAAAAACATGCACAGAGACAACCAGGTCCTGTGGGGGAATAGGAACAGAAGAGCCACTCTCTCTAGTGGGGAGAGCGCCATGGCCACTCTCTCTAGTGGAGAACGCCTTTGGCCACCCTCTCTCCTGGAGGGCGCCCCGTATCCATTCCCAAGCAGATTTTTATTGAGAATACAGACTTAGTTTGTGGATTCACAATCTGGCAGAAAAGACCAAAAGAAGTAGGTGACTTACAAAGGTGCAGACGGAACTCCTGCTGTGATTCTGGGCGGAGATTGGGGTTTTATCGAACAGGGCTCAAAGGGCAGTTTTGGTTTCCTGTCTGTGCCTACAAATTCTAATCTAATAACATCCTCCAGCAAACAGATCTCACAGGATCTTGTATATTCTGTGTCCCAGGCCTGATGACCCAGGGGGTCCGCCGTTTCTGGTCTGGGCTGCACCGCCCCCTGCAGGCCTGAGAAGGGCAGGAGACAGAGGCAGCCAGGAGACTTGGATTTCTCACATCTAAGAACAAGGACTCAGGCTTTGACAAAGCCGAGGGGGCAGGGGTTGATGTCCATCACCCCTTCACATCCACAGCCCCGAGTCTCTTCCCTTAGGGCATTCCCACGTGATCGTGCCTGTCTTACATTCATTCTCTTTCTTAGAGAATTGTTACCTGTCATTGACTGCCGATCATGCCAGGGAAATAAGTTTTGTCTCCTTAGTGGCTTCTGGTCCGGAGGTCTTTCACTCAGCCTACGTCACGGGGGGTTACAGCTTCCTGAGACCAGGCAGGGCGGTCCCCAGCAGGAACCTGGGGTGCATACTACTCCGGGGATCATCCTCCGTCTGTTCAGATTGACGGAGCCTAGTTTTGCAGCCCGGGATGTGCTCTGTGTTGGCGAACATTCCCCCCTGAGAAGGCGAGTATTCTCTGGTTGTAGTTTTCTATGCAAATCCATTTCAGATCTTCTGTGTCTTTAATGATTTTTTTTTATCTGGCTCTACCCATTGCTCAAACTAGGTGGAACTGTCTTTTTTCTCCCTTTAGTAATTCTGTCCGGTTTTGCCTCGTGCTCTCGTTGTTCGGGGCGGACACGCTTGTGATTTTGCTCGTCATTTTGATGAGGTGCCCCTTTTATCATAGCGTGCTCTGTGTGTTGGAGGCTTTGATGTTGGTTTACGCACTTCAGTCTTGCGCTCACCATTGGCAGGGCACACTTTTTCCATCCTTTGCCGGCAATCTGTTTAATGTGGCTCTCTCTCAAAAAAAAAACAGCTTGGGTTGGGATCTTGCTTTTTTACTCAGTTTGTTCAGTGCGCTCAGTCCATTAGCGTTTAATGCGTTTTCTGCAGCGGTTGGGTTCAGGCACCATTTGTTTCCTATTGGCTTTCTGTTCGTCCCTTCTGTTTTCTGTTCCTCAGTTCCTGTCTTCTTTCGGGAGAAAACCGTACCGTTTCACCTAAGAAGTGAGCACCTTGAAACTGTGTGGTACCACGAACCCCTCCCTGGCACGGTGCTGGAATCGTCACGTGTATTATTATATTTAGATAGTTGCAAGTCCCACAGTAAAGTGTTAGAATTTGTAAACAGTCACATATGTTTTTAAAACATTAAGAGAAAAATAGTCTTTTATATCTATAACTTCTGGTGTTTTCTGTTCCTTGGATGTTTGATACTCAGCCCAGAGACCTTCGTTTGGGGTCTCTTACACTCGATCTTAGCCGGAAGGCCGGGAAGCGATGCTCTGGGGTTTCTTGCGTGTCGGCTCTGCCGGCCGAGACTTCCAGTTTCCTCCCATCTGGAAGCCTCTTCCTTTGCCTTCGGATGTGTGGTCTGGATGTAGAGTTCTGGTCACAGTTGTCCCCCACTGCCGCCCCAGCCCCGGGCTGTCTGCCGTCCTCTGTCCAGCGCGCTTTCTCGTGGAACTCAACACTGTCGTCGTTTCCCTGTATCTCATGCAGCAGTTTTTTTTCTTTTACAGTTTTTTCCCTTATGTTTGGTTTTCGGCAGTTTGACTGTATGCCTGGGCGTTGTTCTCCCTGCTCTTCGCCTGTTCGGGGTTTTCTGGGCTTCTCCAGTCTCTACGTCTGTATTTTTCACCCAGTTTGGGAGATTTTTAGTTCTTTCCTCTGCATTATTATCTTTCTCTCTCCCCGCCTCCCTCTCTCCCCCTCCCTCTCCCCCCCTTCTAAACTCAATAATTATACAAAATGTTTGCTTCTTTGCCAGTGTCCCACAAGACCCTGGAAATGTGTTTCTGTTTGTTTCTTCTTCAGATTGCGTTTTCCTCGACATCCCTAGGCGTGGGTGTAGTAAGTGCTTCGCCACCACTGCGGGCTTCTTCCAGTGCTGGGCCCAGGCTCCCCTCGCCCTAGGTTGGGTCTTCCTACTCACTCACGTGTCGGATCACGTGCGTTGTGTTGGACTCACCGTGTCAGTGATGCTGTGCCTAGACCGCACTCTGCGTGGTCCTTCAGGGGGAATTGATTTTTTTTAGGTCTTAACAGGCAGTTAATTAGGCTGAACTTGAACTACATGCTGACTTCTCGGTGGCAGGTGGCAGCTGCGCTCATGCACTCGGACAGCTGACAGGGAGTGTGGTCCGTGCATCGTGCATTCCAATGGGCAACTGCCCAAAACACAAGCAGACGGGGCCCTAGCCTGACCAAACCTACAGTCTGGTGGACAGAGATAGGCCAGTGCGCAGATGAGCCTGAGGGCCCCCGGGTCCCGTGGGTCGCGTCCCGTGAGTCGCGTGGAGGCAGCGGGCTCACTGAGACACGGGCTGGGGCGCCGTTCCAGCACAACGTAAGGATGATTTTCGGAGCACGTTGGCCCCTCTGTGCCAAAGTGGTGACACAGGGCTGGCTGACGAAAAACGATTAGTTCCCTTGCCATCATCGTGTTAAATTTTGGAAGAAAAGCATCTCTTTCAAAAATGCAGTATAGGGTGGGGAAGAATATTAAAAGCAAGTGTTTCGATTCTTGACTGTCATGCTAAACAGGAGGGATACTTTATTTTGGGGAGAAAAGATGATTGGATAAAAAAAAAAACCTCTGCAGATAACACCGGTGGTTGTAAATCAGGGAATATTAGACATTGCTGAGGTAAAAAAAAAAAGACCTACCTATGTATATTAAAGAAAATGTCAGTGTTGGGAGAAAGACTGTTTATGCTCATGGCAAATACATCTTAAAAATCTACGTTTCCAGCGTCAGCTGTCAAAGGGGTTTTCTAATCTGCTTGTGTGTTTTCTTGCATAAGTTACATCCGTATGAATGGACTTTGGTGTTTATTTTATAAAAGCATGTCTTCCCTCGCAGTAACCTGAGCCTTTTTTTCTCTCTTTTTTCCTTTTGAACAGTGTATCCTATTCAGTACATGTGTCTGAAGATTACCCAGGTATGTTTTTCTTCTTTTTACTTTCATTGCAAATATTTGCACTCCGACGCAGGGGAGGATGTTTTGCTCCTGGAGCTGTAAAGCGCATGCAGATGTGTTTGGGGGGAGGCGCCCGCAGGGGAGCCGTAAAGACACGGCAGCAGAACTCTGCTGACTTCCTGCCGGGCGCGAGCGTGCCCTGGGCTGCGGGTCAGAGTCAAAGTCGTTTCCCCGTGAAAAGGGGTTTCCTCGGGCCCCTGGGAGAGCTTCAGCCCCGATCCCGACTTCATTACGATGAGATAAAGATTCTTTAGCCTGGTGTAGTTGTTGGTTTTGGGTCATCGTTTGGCTTTTCATCATGTAAAAATAATTGGTAAGAACGTAGCAGCTAAAATAATGGTAATAGCCAAAGATAATAAACCTTTCTTCATTTCCCTAAGTATGTATGTAAGCAGTTCTCACCGCAGGCGTGTGGGAGTGTGTCCTTCATTTCCCATTTCATGATGGGGAAATCATACATAATCATCCCCGTAATGAGTGGGGATGGCCCAGCTGGTAGGAGGAAGGGCTGGGATTTGAACCCAGTGCCCCAGAGCCTGCGCACGGCCTGCACTGGGCATCTCCCGCAGACATAGCTGTCTGCTCTCTGTGCCCTGAGGTGCGTCAGTAGGCCCACACGCCCCTGTCCGTAGAGTCCAGCTGGAAGGTCCTTGCTGACCCACTTCTGCAAAGCAAACAGCATGCTCCTTCCCTGTCCCCCTCGTGTTCAGACTCACTGGAACCTCCCTGGAGCCCAGGCCGTGGGAGCTGACGCTGGAGTCTTGATAACCCAGGGATGTCGACCAGATGTTTCCCTTCAGTGTCTCCCTCAGAAATGTGTCCATAGTTTCGCCCTGAACCCAGCAGGAACACTGCCGACTTAGTGTGGATCACACACGATACGATTCGTGTACCCCCATGAAAAGGGTGCAAGAATCCGTCACGCAGAGCATAGCCCATGTTAACTGCCTGTGTTTCGCATGTACAGGGCGGGGCAAGGTTATGTATGACTGCCACGATTAATGAATAGTAGTACAAGAATAAACTGTTTTTGCATACTCGCAACTGTGAATCTTGTCCTGCCCCCTACTCTGTGTGTGTATGTTTATTTTACTCCAGTGTTTTTGACCGAATAAATTCAGATGGTTTTCAAAGTGGCCGCTGTGACCAGTCAGGGCCGTAAGTTGGAACCATAATGCCAATTCCTGTCGACATCTAGCGAGTTTACTCGCTCACGTACTTTGCATGATCGGTATCCCAGTTTTCTGTATGACACGACTAGATCGATATAAGTGACTTTGATTATGTATATTTTGAGTATTTTCTAAAAATAATTAGTTTATAATACAGTATGAGGACATTGTAAAACTTAGCATTTATGCAAAGTTTTTCCTGTGGCAGTTTGTATTATGCATTTTGGATTTTAATCTTCTTATAGGCTCCAATGTCACGGAGATAGTTTACTTATTACCATTTTTTGATATTATCTCCATATGTTTTAAGCATAGCTTTACAAGGGTAGTTACTTATTAAAGATACGCCTGTGTTTTAATAGTAGTATGAAAAGTATTCTGGGAAGATTCTATTAGAAGAGTCAAGGAAATATATATTTATAATGAAATATATTTTTGGTAGATGGTTTTGCAGTCTGTTTTCGTTTGTTATGATATAGTATGTTTTTTAATGTTGAATGTTTGCTACGTATGTTAGGAAAACAAAAGCCCCACTGTTTGTTGTAAATGTTATCATTATTGTGCTTCTCGTCAGGGGCAGCTGCTAGAGGTATCAGCCGTGAGCAGTGCGGGGCTTTAGTTTGGAGTGCTGGGAATGATACCACCAATCCAGGCCCACCTTGCAGAGAGGGAATTATTCTGTAGCAAAGGAAATGTGGTAAAAGACGCCTCCTTCAATAAATCAGGTGGACCAAATGTTTAGCTCCCTCTTGTGGCCAAGAGGTGCTATTCTTTACCCCACCATTCCCGAGCCCCACTTGGAAGTAACAGTATAGAAAAATTGAAACTTAAAGATAGAGCATTGGTTTTCATTTGTGTTGCTTAAAAATTGAATTTCTTTCTTGGAGCGGTTGGTAGTGAATTTCCGGTATCATTTCGTTTCTAAAGAGAAAAGGAGTATAACTAGAGGCCAAGAGTGGGAGAGATTGGTGAATCCTAGGGTAGGATTTTGGATTGGTTGACGTGGCGAGTGCACTGCATGTTGAGTACCGTCCTGTACGTGATTGACTAGATTCTAAATGTCAGTCTCTGTAGGGACAGACCAGGGGCTATTTGGCTGTCTTAAAGGGACGTGCTGAGCGAAGGTCAGCAGCGTCTCCCAGAGACACGGTGTTTGGTGATGGAACCAGGTCTGTGATTCAGTTGTGACTCCTGTCACTCCCGGAGAAGTGGTCGTCATATTTCTGTGGCGCTCTCTGTAAAGCGAATGTGACCATGACAGTATATCCCCGCTTACTAAATGCTGGCCCACGTTTATTCGTACGAACGCGCAGTGAACACGTTGATGTCTCAGCGAGACAAGGTTACATAAACGTTCTGCGGCTGCCTTCCTTTCCAGTGCCCACACCTGTGTTTCTTCGCCTGCTGCAGAGGCTAGAACTCTCCGAATAATTCTCAAGAATGGATGTGACCATTGGCAGCTTTGTCCTTTCTTGCAAAATCAGTGGATGGGCTTGCTCTCTTTCAGAAAAGGAAGCTGTGTTCCTTTTCTCATCTGCCAAGTTTTTTTTAAGAATAAGTATTAAGTTTTTTATCAAGTTCTGCTTGGCATCTGTCAAGATACCATACCTGCTTTCTCCAACAAAAAGATGGCGGGTTATATTAGCGGATAACTTAGGGTGGATCTATAAGAATTATGTGCATCTTTATATACTTCGTTATTTAAGACTTCAAATTGCTAAAAGAAGTCAACTTTTTTGACATTTACTAGAACTTGCAAGCAAAGCTTTCGGAGCCTGGTATCTTTTTAAGGATCGTTATATGGCAATGGTCTTATTTTTCTGCCATGATTTGATCTGTTCTGTTTTTCTGTTTCTTAGTCATTTTTTAAAACGTGGGTTCTTCTTAAAGCCCACTGTGTTGGTGAGATGTCCAGATTTGTTAGCAAGTTTTCTTCAGTATTCGGTGTATAAAGCTGAAAGTCTTTTATAGCTCTGCGTTTATTTCTCCTTTCTGTTGTTTTGTACTTGTTCTTGTCTTTTTTCCCCTTTGGTTTAATTTCTATTGGTAATTTTCCTTAGCACCCCCCTCCGAACTGGGTTATGTGGTTCAATGATCAGCTCATCACTAAGTCTGAAAATACGAACTTTTCATTGCCCTGTGGAAATTGTCACAGAAACCCCCCAAATTCAGGGTTATGCTGCCCTGGATATTATTTAGGAAACAGATTTGTCACCTTATCATTTTAATCTATTAAGTAACTTATGCCATGTATTGAAACTCCTTTTATAGATTTTTTTCACGAAAATGAAAATTTAGAGGTCTTGATTGAGTTTTACGCGTACATGATAGAACATGTAGGTGCATGAAATACCAAATGACATGCCGGTTCTTCAAAGTAAAGTGAAGAACTGGAACAGCCTTCTGGGTTACTCGTACTTCTGTGTGGCGTTCACACTGTAGACAGCGTTTTATCTTTTAAAGGTGAGCTTGTTGTGGGTCATAGGTGACTGGCTTCGCGATAGCAGAACAGCAGAATCTTTCTCTTCACGCCACCTTTAATTAGGAGGCTTGCCCACCAGTGGGTATGAATTCTCTCATCCGTTTTATGTGTTCTACAAGTTATTACAGTTGTTGAGTGACAGCTTTTTGTTATTAAAAATATCAAAGCATTGATTTTTGGGTTCAGTCTGTTTCACCACTGTAGTATTAGTACTTTAATTACTTACATAAGTACTCAAGTTAAATTCTCTCAGCCCTGGTTTCTTCATCGTCAAAAGAGGGATAATAACTGATTGGCTTGGGGGGTGAACATGAATATCATGTATAACGTTCAAGGAAAATACCTAGGTTATAACAGCAGTGTAATTGTCATGTGTCATTACTTCCCTCAAGTTGCATAGGGATGAATAATGGAATGACTCGGCCTAAATTGTGTTGCCGTGGAAATAGAACAAAAGTTGTAGTTTAGCAGGTGCTTCTCCATAGCTCCCGTGGTCCGTGTAGACCTCTCTGATCGGGCCTGTTAGTTCTACCGTAAAGGCGACGTGATAGATATTGTCATGAAACCTGAAAACATTGTGTGACATGGACCCTGGCTCCTGGGGTCCACGGCGTTATGGATGAGATGACACAAATTCACACGGACCCCCGAGTCCCGTGGAGGAAAAGGGTTAGCAGCGTGGTTTCTCTCTCAAGGGGAGGAAAAGCCTCGTAGCACCTCGGCCACTCTCTCAAGGGGAGAGCACCTTGGCCCTTGCCATGACAGGTTTTTATTGGGTTCAATTTGCACAGGAATGAAGCTCATCAATCATTGTCAGGCAGAAATGATTAAACCATAGATAACATTCAGAGAACTCTGAGGGCTTACTCTGAGTCAGGGTCAGATAGTTAAAGGGCCAGAAAACTTTGGGGAACAAACTCACTTCCTGCTTGGACCCTTATCATTTAAATTGAGGGTATTAGCAAAGCACGTTTCATAAGATTTTATGCTTTCTTTCTTAGGCCTGATTGCCCTAGGGAACCCACCCTTTCCAGTACAGGGTGACACCCACCTCCAGCATTGTTTCAGGCTTAAGTACGACAGCCAGGAGGTTAGGAGACTTCTTGCAGACAGAATGAAGACTCAGACTATGTCAAAGCTGAGGGGTGAGGGTCCATCACCCCCCTTTTCTGTAGTCCCCCAAGTCCTTCCCTGAGGGCCCCTTCATGACCATGCCTGTCTTAGGTCATCCCTCCCTTGAGGAATCTTACCCGTCATTGGCTAACCAGTCATCAGCCCGGGGCCAAGCAGGGTGAGGTGAAAGGGGGCAGAGGTGGTGCCCCTACAAGGAAGAGAAGCTTTGTCTCGTAAGTGGCTCATGGTCCCAAGGTCCTTTACTCAGCCTTAGCCATGGGGTATTACATACAGCTCCAGAAACCAGGCAGGGCTGTTCCCAACAATTGTGGTTTGAATAAATTAAGCCCAAAACAGAAATTAAAAGTGTTCTAATGCCTAAATACGAATCAAAATTCAAACTGGTAGACAATCTCTTAGAAAATGGTAAGTTTGGTACATGATCCCGCCCTTCAGCCTTAAACAGCATGTGTTCACCAGACTATATTCTCGTGAGCCAGATCTCGCTGTCTTTCTGCGACTCCCCTGCCCGTAAGCCATTTCACCCTTGAAACCCACGTGCTTACAGAGAAAGTCCTGATTCACTTGCCTCCCGATGCTCCAGTCAAGTCCCCTCGTCCCGTGACACTGACAGACTGCATGAGACTGTGTCCTCTTGACAGATTTTTCTGTGTCTCCCCTTCTGGTTAGTGGTCAGCTATTCCTCTGTTGCTCTGATGCTGCCTTTTAATTTCCCTTTTCTCCATAAGTTTGCTTCAAGGGGTCCATTGTGCACAAAGCAAGGCTAATGAAGTGATTTAGAAGCAAATAACTTTGAATCAGTAGGACTCTGCAAGAGAGTTTAAGAAACTTAAAGACTGACTTTAATACAGGGTTATTTGAATCCTCGCCTGGAAGTGTAATAGGTTCCTGAAAGAAGAGACTCCAGATAAGAAGGTTCAGCTAAGGATGAGACAATGAAAGCAAAGTTGTATCAAGTCCCCTTCGTAATCTGCAGCCCCACTTGATAAACACAGAAATCTCACACCCTCCTTAACGCTGCTTGGACACGAAACAAGGCGACATTTGTAATGAGAACGGGTCAGAGTCAGGAGGCAACCTGCTTGATTTCGGTCTCACCCCCACGCGTGTCCTGTGACCTCCCTGGGTAGCCCCGGGAGCCTTCGGTCTGTGGGTGTTGCTGCTCTGTGGACTCACACCCCAGGCTTCACCCACGCGGGGTCTGAAGATGGCACAGGAGCTCCTTTGGGAGCACAGTAGTGACTTCGTATCTGTCAGCGCCCTCCCGGCACTGCACAGGGTTATGAAAACCCCCCTCGGTCTTCGAGGGGGCGTTTAGCTGGTCATCGGAACACCCTTTTCCCCTGGCGGGGTCAGCGCGGGCTCCCACGCAGAGTTGGGCACATTTGACACTTTTGTTTTTATATTTACATGTGCTTTACACATCACAGCGTGTGTTGCGGGACTGTTATTCATGAATTGGTGACGTGTCTGTTAAATCGCTCCCTCCCAGATGCCCTGTAATTGCCCGTGGACAAAGTGGAGTAAACAGCGGTGTGTTCTGTTATGAGGCCATGTACTTGAGGATCAGTATTTGTCAGGGGACAATCCTAAATTGATAAAAGTATCTTTTCCAGAGGAAACAAAAAAATGCCTAAGAAACGTAAGGAATCTATGGAATGATCCAGTGTTCTGTGGAATAACTCAAAGTTCTATGCATTTAACGAGTGTACTATTATTCAGATAAATCTAATTTGTGGAAGAAGAATTTTGAGACTCTGTATCAGTTTAAGAACATAGACTGTGTAAAGTCTGTGATTGTCTAACCACTGTGTTGTACACGTGAAACTAATACAAAATAATATTATTGATAGTGAACTGTGATGGAAAAATACAAATTAAAGAACAGAAAACAACACATATATTAGAGTTGTATGGGAAAGAGGATTTACAACAAAAGCTTCAGCTCACATTCCGTAGCGACTTGGCGTGGAGTCTTTTTGGCACTGGGTGTGGCGCTGGGCCCCCCCCCCCCCACCCCCAACACTGCTTCCCGCCGCGGAGATCGGCAGTGGGAAGGGCCTGCTCAGTGGGCGGAGACACCCAGTTGCATCCACACGGGTCGCTGCCACATGTGAAATATTTTAGACGTACTCAGGTAGTGTCTGTGCCCAAGTCTCTCTTTCTCTAGTGGATGCAGCCCTCTTTAAGGAGGCCCTTTACAATTAGTTCATGCATAAATTTGCAATTTGCTTCATTTTTTCCTGACATTTATTAGAACAGTAGTGTGTGCTTCATGAGTGTTTGAAGTGATGTGGACATAACTTTATGTTTTTGTAAAGGATGTACTCTTTCAAGTTACTCTGCCTTTAATTGTCTGTATTTCTACGCAGATAATACGTATGTGTCAAGTTCAGAAAATGATGAAGATGTCTTAGTTACTACAGAACCCATTCCAGTAATTTTTCATCGAATAGCAACAGGTAATAGGAATACTCTGCTTGTCCTAGGTGGATATTGGTTTCATTGTAGGTAGCTTGGTGTTTTGGTTTCCTTTAGCTCAGGTAACATCTTTAGCTTCTAGAAATCCAGTTTTTCATACACATTTTCTATCTAAAGTACCTTAGTTTGTTTTTCAACAGTTTTTAAGTGCATAAATTAACAGTACTTTTAAAAAGTCTTGTATCTTATGTGAATGTTTACTCTTATGAAAGTATTTCATGTGTAACGATACCATTAGACAAAATGCACACTGAAATGCACACTCGGGGAGTAGAGACCCCGTGAAGCACACGGGGTGCGGGAGCGTCTCCACGGTGGCGTCTCAGTTCGCCTGTGTGTTTATGAGCCGTGAGAAAGCAGGACGGCTCGTATGTTACGTAACCCCCCAGTGTGCATCATTTCAGAATGCCCCCTCATCTTCTTGCAGAGGAGGGAATCATCTACAGGGTATTTTTAGACTGAATCTTGTGAATGTTAACAGTATACGAAATCTAAAATGATTTTTTTAAATTTATAACTTTCAGAATTAAGAAAAACGAATGACATTAACTGTTGCTTATCCATAAGATCCAAATTGCAGAAGGAAAATGGGGAGGTATGTAGATTATATTTTATATTTCCTTAAAACAGTACAGATATATTTTAAATTTACTGTGTGTTGGTAGTTGATATCGTCATTGATATTTAGATTAAGATTGAATACAGTGAGTGAAGCTCAAACCTTGTGCCGTAGGGACTTCCTGTGTGGGAAGGGTCATGGCCTAAAATTAACTCGGAAAAGGAGGCTCCCTTTAAAATAATGGAATGTCTTATTTGTCTAAACAAAGGGCATACAAACCTACCCTATTCTCTATATTTTCATCCAATAATGTAGACTGAGGAGCACGTATGTAAGTTAGAGTTCTGATAACTGTATGTGGCTATGCATGGTTTTGATGGAACCCTTAACGTTCCACTTGTAAAAGGTGACCTCTAGCTAAAGTGGCGCAGGCCGGGGAGTTGTCTTATTGATATTGGCGAGTGTCACATCAACAGAGCAGGCGGCACGGCCCTCTTGGTGCTGTGCGGGTCACCCCGTTCATCCCCAGCCATGCCGAGAACCACTGATTTAGCAGTACTGTCGCTAACGCCAAAAACTGTAAGCATTTCATCAAACCCAGATTTCTTTCTCTAAGTTTTTGTTTTAAGCATTGGAAATTTGGTCTAGAAATTTAGGGGTGATTATAAAGCATCGTATTACCAGATTCTTGTACGTATCTGAAGGAGGCTACCTTTTTCCTGATTATTTGAACAGGGTTGGGAACAGGGACAGTCACTAATAGGAACCGTTAGTTAATTCAGATGCACTTTCATTGTTTGTACTGTGGACACCCAGCAGATGTGCTTCGGTTAATTAGAAATTCAAACTTCATGTTAAGCATATTAAATATTACGCTTAACTTTTTTGAATCTGAAATTGAAAGCATTTTCTATATTCTGAAAGTTTTTTTATAATGCGATTCCTATTTACTTCCATCATGCCATTTTTGTATCATCGGACTCCGTGTCCTCTTCCATGCCGCGTGTGGGGCTGGCCGTGGGCGTGAGGACCGTCTGCGGTGAGAGGCAGAGGGGCTTACTCAGAGCGGAGCCCGCTCACCTGAACGCAGGGCGAGCTGGTGTTGAGTGCAGACTGACTAGAAATTTAAATGTAAAGAAATTGAATTAGCATGAGCTTGTTAGATGTTGTATCAGAACAAATGGAAAGTTATCACTGGTTATATATGAAATACTATAAATTGATCAATTATTTATTATATATAACGTAATATTATATAATATATATTGATTAAATATGAAATGTAAGGTATTAAATTTTACAACTCGGATGTGCAGAATATGTGCCTGGAGCTTAATGAACTCTCCAGAAAGTCTCCTGCTGCCTGGGTCATGTTTTGGCTCACACCACACGCGAGCGTCTGCACACGGAATCCAGGCGGTACGCAGAGCCCCACCTGGTGTGGCCACCTGCTGCTTTCTTTGCAGAAGGAGGGAGGCCAACCAGCCTGCCGTGGACATTGCCTTCTTACTCTGTCCTTTGCAGGAGTCCAGGCAGAGCAGCACAGTGGAGGAGGACTCCGAAGGCGATAATGACTCTGAAGAATTCTATTACGGAGGACAGGTAAGCAGGCAAGGCCCTCCAAGCGCCTGTCTCCGGGTTCGCGGACCTGCGTGTCCCGGTGGGTGGGCGTGTGCGCTCACGACCTGAGTCAGGGACCTGCGTGGTTCCGGGTTCTGGAACGACGACGTCCCCGGGACTCATCCGCGTGTCATACTCTGCGCGTCTTCAGAGACCAAGGCTACTTCTGCCTTTTTTGGCCGCAGCACTCAGGGACGGTGCGTGTGGCCTACCTCTTCGTCTGCACACTGCGTCTCGTTGTGCTTTTGGCTTGACGTGTCTTCAGCGCACTGCGCTCGGCCAGGGTTTAGAAATGACAACGGTTCCAACGAACGCATGGGTTGTTCGTTTTAAATAGAAGAGGGTTAACCTTTATAAACTTCTGTTGAGCATTCCCTTTCTCCGCGTTCATTGTCTTCCTTTTTCTCGTGTGCTAGTGTTAACTGTTTGTTGGAGGTTGTTAGGGAGACAATCACAATTTAAAGATGCAGAAGTGGCATAGCCACTAGGCGCATGCGTGTGTGTGTGTGTGTGTGTGTGTGTGTGTGTATATATATTTATGTATGTATGTATTTATTTATTTATTTATTACATATATATAAAAGAGTTTATTTTACACACACATATGTAAAAGAATGCATTATATTGTTCCAGGATAATATTAAAACTTTAAACTGGGCAGCTCATTTTAGGACACGGGCACATAAGGTGTCTTGTCCTGTTTCTGTGAACTTCTTGATCCGCGAGGCTTTGTAAGTTGGGTAGAGTTGTGAGGAGGTGATGACGACATGGTTTGCGTGTTGCTCCTCCGGAACCCCCCCTCCCCCGCCATGCCCCTGCCCCTGCTGACCCGTGGCTGACCCGAGGCTGCCCCGCAGGTGAACTACGACGGGGAGCTGCACAAGCACCCGCAGCTCGAGGCCGACCTGTCGGCGGTCAGAGAGATCTACGGGCCCCACGCGGTTTCTCTCAGGTAAGGACACTCCCTCGGCGAGGAAGAGCTCAGGTCATTCGGGGTGAGTCACGGGGATTTCCTTTCGGGCATGTTTAAGTGGAAGTTTACCTGGGCTTCGTTATGTTTGAAAATGTTTGAGAGATTTTAAGTGTGTTTCTACTTATATAGAATGGCCCTAGTTATATAGGGCCTAGTTATATAATGTTTCTACTTATATATATAGCCCTAGTCCCTGGGGCTATATGGGGTTTTTTTGTTTTGTTTTGTTTTGTTCATGGTTTAAGATGGCATTGGCTGCATTTAAAAACGACATATTTAGAGAGCTAGTGTGACGAAACCTCAGCCTTCAGTCGTGTCGTCATCAGCTGTGATAATAGGTTCGGCCCGCGGGCCCCTGCTGTCCCCATAGCGCGGTCACGTGAACAAGACGGTGCAGAACACGCAGCCCCTGGTGACCACATCACGGAGGGCTGTGTTGCCGGGCCCTCAAAAACGGGAAGGAAGGAAAGACATACCTTTGTGGTTCCTTAATATACTATTCAGTGGCGATACATTTGTAGACCATTTTTTCTTAGTTTTCATCATTCAGAAGAGCCCGCCCATCCCCCTCACTCACAAACCCCTTCTGTACCCCCTGGCACCTTCCTCCCGTGGCCTGAGCCGATGACCTCAGACTCCCGTTCTTTGCCTAAATGCTCGTCCGTGTCCAGCAGGAGCTCGGTTCTGGCCTTTTCCACCCAAACTGGAAATGCTCCCATCGTCCGCCCATGCCAGGTTCCCACTTGACTCTGGGCGTTTGTGTAAGCAGTTTTCTGACCAAGGGGTGCCTCCCGCTCCGCCCCCGCCGTGGGCCCCGCCAGCCCTGTGCGAAGGCCAGCTACGTGAGCCTCCGTCCAGTCTCCCGCACGGAGGAGCGAGGGATTCTGTCCCCAGGGACCTCCACCCCGTTTGGGTTTTGTCCACCTCGCATCCTGTAAGGCGTCCGTTTACTGGGCGGTGCCCTGTTTTGTCGCTGGCTTCGTGTCGCTTCGGTTGGGCTTCGGATCCCGCTTGTGTTCTGCTGTTCAGCATCGCACGGGGTGTAGCTGAACGTCTCACTGCTGCCTCCTCGGCTGTTGGCGGTGGCAGCATCCCCGATCTGGTTGCGTCCTTTCCCACAGACATACCCAGATTCCGAGAGACCGTACAAGTACTCTTACTTGGGAAGTACAGCGCAGCTCTAGTTTCTTTATACTTGCCAGATGTTTCGTTTCTGCTGTAGAAGCAGCAGCTCGCAGGCACCGGCAGCCTAAATAAGCTGGGGCTGTGCACCCAAACCCACCATCTCGTGCAGGGGCACTGAGCTGCCTTTGAGGGAGAGTGATGGGGATTATATTGGAAAAGTGGATCTTGGCAGTCATCAAAGTTTTTGCAAATTAGCTGTGGTCATTTTCCTGTTTGACCCCTGCTACGGCACCAGGGTTGGGCATGTGGGTGGATATTCAGTGTGTTTTAGAGTAAAAAAACGAAGGAGGCAATCAGGATCATCAGCAAAGTGTCCAGAACAATGACTACTTTTTTAACTTCAGTTGAACTTTGCTTGAAAGCTTAAATCTTTAATCACAGTAATTTTACCCCCTCCCACACTAAAACAAAGTCTGTGGGTTATAATTAATCATACAAGAAAACAGAGACTTCAAGTTCTTTTCATTTGAAATTTGTATTCTTGTTTAGAGGACTACCGTAGCATATATTGACTGCTTTGACAGTTTGAAACTTTTTAAAAAAGATTTTATTAATTTATTTGTACAGAGAGGGGAAGGGAGGGAGAAAGAGGGACAGAAATACCAACGTAAGAGCAAAACATCGATCAGTTGCCTTTCGCATGCCCCCCAGCCAGGGATGAAACCAGGGCCTGTGCCCTGACCGGCAGTCCGGCTGGTGACCTTCCGGTTTTCAGGACGACACCCAACCCCCTGAGCCACACCGCTCACGGCTAGTTTAAATCTTTTTAAAACACATTTCCATGTTATCTAGACCCCAATTATACTGTCATGTGTGTATGATTTTTTTCAGCAAGCATTTACTAAATACCTAATGATTATCTCTAGTAATATTTTCCATTACTAATAAAATTATGGATAATTTTTCAACGGTTGAAATTAGAGGACTATGGAATGTTATTTAAATGAAGTTCCTGGAGTCACACGTGGTTGTGATTATATTTCCCCCTTATTTCACTTGAAAGCTTTGATCCAGTTCAAATCTTAACACATGCACACCGTGTTCTGGCCCGCTCTGGATTTGCTCTCGCTACAGAGGGCGTTTCCCGAATGCACGCCCCCCAGAGGCCTGATGGTATGGAGGGGAGTCTCAGCAGGCCGGGTTTGATTTACTTAAAATAAGCAAGAACGAGTGCACTGTCTAGTCCCAAATACTGAGGGCCGGGCACCTGGGACAGGGAGTAGTTAGACATAAGGTCTTGGCCTCATCTTCCTTGCAGAGTTCTACTGCTATTGAAAACAGACTGTTCTAATTAGCTGTTCTTTTCCTTAATTGAGGTTTATAAGGACTTAATGGAGTTTGACGAGCAGGAGCACCTCAATATGCATAATAGGCTATTCGGTGTCATTCCTTTTCTTGTGACATCTAATGAGGAAGGCAGCTAACCACATCTGAGTTCTCTGTAAGGGATGGAAATCTCTGAGGTCGCCTCGGTGCAGGCGCAGCCGTCTTGAAAGGGTGCAGGAGGGCACAGAAAGAGGGACTTTCATAAAATAAACGACGTCAGTCCTACCTGGCCGTGTCCGGGGGCAGAATACTGGTCGTGTTGACTGTTCCGACTGACAGGCTCCTGAGTGGGAAGCTAGGTAGGTCTTGGAGGGGATCACGATTAACCCCGGATCCGTTTGAAGACGCCCCACCTGGGGTCGTGCAACAAAATGAAGGTAGTTTGTGTTCTCCACTACAAATTTAGTCTTCTCGTTCTGTATTTATTTTTAAAAACTGTGGATTGCTGTCATCTGAAAGCAATTTGAGATTCATGTTTTTCAACAGGAAGGGACTTGAAAGTCACAACATTCTCATTTGTTCAGGAACGAAGTGATTCTGATAATCCACTTGTGAGGTTCCCAACTGGCACCCCGTAGGAAGTACGCTTTGCTTTATGGCACACCCACCGCCTCGCATGTGAAAAGCTGAAGCCATGTGAGTGGCGTTGCGGCTCACGTGGAACGTGGGTTGGAAGAGTGTGCCCGTTGTGTGCTTCGTGGGCGGGCGTTCGTAAAAGGCGCGTTGGAGTTGGTACCTCCGTTCAGATTTGAGGAGCCTACGCGACTGTACTGAAGCCCCACCCAAACACAGTTCTCCGGGGCGGGGGAGACAAAAGGAAGGTGGGATCCTCCACAAAGATCCGGGAGGAGCACTTGCATTTCTCTGGGTTTCTAGGTTTCCATTTTTGCACAGCGGCCCCCGGGGTGGCCGGCCGGCTTTCTGGCCCTCTTCCGGCCTGTGCTGGGATCGGGGTCCCCTGGGGTCCCCTTCCCTTCTTACATGAGCGTGCACACACAGGTCGTTCTGGTCAGTGTGGTGTGAGCACAGTGCTGGGGTGCGAGCCCCGTGGCCTCTGGACCCCTTGTCTGTGCCTGTCGGTGACTGCAGTGAGCAGCACCCCTCCCCCCTTCCCGGTCCCCTTGCAACCATGTGGTGTGAGTGAGACTCAAATCCTGCTTTGTCCTAAAACACGGAGATTTTGAGGATGTTCCGTACCCCCAGCATAACCTGCACTGAAGCGTGTCAGTTGTCGAAAGTGGATCTTGCTTGGGTTGGATGTTTGCAGCGTCCTTCCCACACACCGTGTCTCCCACTCCTGCATCTGGAGCCGAGGGAGAAGGCGGTCCGAGTCTGAGGAGTGGGGGGCCCACGGGGCAAAGGCACGAAGGGGATTGCATCTTTGAAAAGCACTGCGTGTGACCTAGATGTAAGCCTCAGGAGGTCAGCCCCCACATGGTCGGTCACCTTGGCCCCCAGGGCCCACGCCTTCTTCAAGCCAAAGCAGGATCTTTAAGCTGCGGGGGGAGGTGCAGCCTCTGTTCGTGCTGTATCTCACTCACTACTGTTGTCTGTGGGCGTCCTTTCCTAGCTGGACCTAATTTTTAAGTTCTCCTCTGCCCTGTTGTCCTCTAGAGAAATTTATAGCTCCTTTGGCTACAGTCTGGCAGATGCTTTAGTGTGCCCAGATTCTTCCTGATGACTGAGTTTGCGTAGTTCTTGGCCCATTCACAAACATCTCTCCCACGCTGGGCGAAGTCGCACGTTGAGTAGTAGGCCTGCGGAGACAGACAGGCAAGCTGTGGGGTTCCAGATGTCAGAGGAAGGTGTCTGTTTCTTCACAAGGCGTGCTTCTCCGCGAAAGACAACCAGTCGTTGAAGGCAGAAATAACTAAATAGCGGTAGAGGTTTATTTCCCAAGGAGCTCCGGTAGAGTTTCATGTATGTAAGTATACATGTAATTTCCTCGACAGTTAATAAAGGAAAGTTAGATATCTAAAGGATCTATTTTATAGCCAGCAAAATCACTGCTAGTGTTGACGAGGTAGTATTTTAAAACATGACTGTTCTATAATGAATAAGCTGTAGTTTTGCAGAGAAAGGAGAACCAACCTAGACAGTCTAATATTCTATTACGACTATCTATGTGATGTCTCATTAGTGAGGATGTTGTGCTGATTAGTTCTAGTAAAAGAAGGAGTCGCCAAGAATTCTAACACAAAGTGCCCTCAAAGGTACGTGTTCATGGAAAAATATATTTCATACACAGGGTGGGGCAAAAGTAGGTTCCTAAGTTGCACATATGTGAGACAGTTTATTTTTGTATTATTATTTATTAATTGGTGTAGTATTTGACATGAGAACAACTGTACACCTCCTTTTGCCCCACCCTGCTCTAGGAAAAACTAGGTCACATGTAAATATGCAGAATCAAAGAGCCAGATGCAGAGCTGGGAATCGTCCCTTCGAAGAGCAGCTGAGGGGGCTGGGAAGGAATCTGCGGGGCAGTTCCTTTCCACACCCCGAGTTTCAGGCTGACGCAGTTGCATCAGTGACGCAGCCGCATCAGAGCATTTCTGGGCTCTGTGTCTCACCTTCACACGGAATTCAAGCCCGCTCCGAAGTGACCATTTCACAGAGAATAGATACGGGGAGTGGGCGAGTTTATTCTGAGTTATTGTTAAACCCAGTTCTGCATCCAGGGCAGGGTCAGGCCCCTCGCCTCACGGTTCAAGTTGCATTCAAGGCACAGGCGTGCGCCTCGGTCCTGCTTGCTGCTGGTCATCCAGCTCTGGGGCTGCCACTGAACGTCGTTCAGATGGGGGGCGAGCCTGTGGTCCCAGACGCGCGTCTGGACACGTAGTCTCGCTTCGGGATTCCCCCAGCGGGAAACGCAGTGACTGGCCTTATATGCAAAGGGAAGCACAGCAGAAATCGGTTTGCATATCGCAGCCCTGCTCGTGCTTTGAAGGGTGGCATGAGAAAAGAGTCACCCACCGTTCACTGATCTACTCCGGCAGCATGCAGGTACCTGCACACCGTACTGCCTCGGGCGCCTTCTCATTCGGGGTCTGTGGGGGTCTCTGGGGGTCTGGGCCCTGCTCTGGTGACCACCACCACCCGTAGCCCTTGATTTCCCCTTTATTTTCTTCGAAAGGAATGGATAGTGTTAGAAATTGGGCCGACACTAACTTTTAACTGGGAAAGTGTTGGAGAGATCATGAAAGGAATACTTAGATAGTCACATAGGAAAAGGTTGAAAAGAGCCCATGTCACGTTCTGACTCACAACTTCCTGGCCAAATTCTGGAGAAGCATGTGGTCTGGAAGTCCCTTCACGAAGAAAACGGCTGTGAGTCAGCTGCTTTCTGGGTTTCATCTCTGACGTCTTTCTGTCTGCCTCTGCACGTGCTGTGTCCTGCTGTCATAAACAAATCCAAACAAACGTTACTCTTCCTCCGAAACGGGCAGAGACGCGTGGGGGCGGGGGGATGGGTGCTGCTGGCCAGCCCGAGGGGAGAGGCTCCCCGGGATGGCCCGGCTGCAGTGATGGGGACTGACTTAGTCTTTTCACTCAGTAACTAAATGGGGTACATGCATCAGGACTCCCAAATAGAGCCCTGGCTGGCGTAGCTCAGTGGACTGAGTGCGGGCTGTGAACCAAAGCGTCGCAGGTTTGATTCCCAGTCAGGGCACAATCCTGGGTTGCAGGCCAGGTCCCCAGTGGGGGCCACATGAGAAGCAACCACATATTGATGTTACTCTCTCTCTCTTTCTCCCTCCCTTCTCCTCTCTAATAAATCAATAAATAAAACCTTTAAAAAAAAAGACTCCCAAATAGAGTCATGCCATTTATTTTGCTCAGTTATTCTAGAAATTTTCTGTGAGAAGATGGATGCTCCTAGATATTTTATCCAGAGAGCTCTTTATCACTATCTAGAGTGTGAAAAAAAAAAGAATTGAAAGGAACCTAATGTTGTCTTAGGGAATTTTATTTATACAAATACAGCCATTTAACTTTATAGTTTAGAAAAATGTTCCTCAATGTGGAAACAACACCCACAGGAAAATTGAGAGAGCAGGACAAAAATCTCTACCCATTATTTTATCCTTAATATATTCTATGTATTATATGACGTGTTAGTGTATGAAAGAGTCCGATCCGCAGTGGGACGGGAGTGAATGAATTATCTCTGAGTGGCGATTCCGAGTTACTTCTTTTTAAAAAATTCCTTATTTAACATAATGAGTCTATATTACCTTGGTAATCAGAAAAAGTACACATTTTTGTAAAATACATAACACATTTTATAAAGTAAGTTCTGCCCACATTTATAGTTATTCTGTAAATACTCTATTTACTTTATTGGTTTTCCTAAACCTGTTTTGTATAAAAAAGGTATTTTAGTTTCCATACTTTTTTTGTAATCTACTTGCTCCGTAAGTACAGTATATTTGAGCATTTCCCTTGGAATATTAAAAATATATATATATTTTTAAAATTTTATTTATTTATTTTCAGAGAGGGAAGGGAGGGAGAGAGAGAGAGAGAGAGAAACATCAATGTGCGGTTGCTGGGGGTCATGGCCTGCAACCCAGGCATGTACCCTGGCTGGGAATTGAACCTGCAACACTTTGGTTTGCAGCCCGAGCTCAATCCACTGAGCTACGCCAACCAGGGCAGAATAGTAAATATTTTTATATCCACTTCGTTAGTAATGAGTAATTTTAAAGTACTGTGTCAGCGTGCTGTAGCTGACGTATTTTCTGTTCAGTATTCCTTTCCCCCCCGTTTCTGCTGTTCCATGCATTCTTCCAAGTGTGACCGTTCGCTCACGTGACTGTTTCCTGGGAACGGCTGCAGCCCAGGCGCCCTCTCCCCACTGACGTGTCCCTGCGGCGGTCAGCGATCCGCCCTCCCCCACAGCACAGGCTTTCTTCAGCTGGCCTTGCTGCAGAGATTTGACTTCTTGTATCATGAATAATTTGCCAGCGTTCTCAGCCAGCAAATTATGACCACTGGGCTGCGGGCCCTGTTTTTGAACAACCCGTGTGCTACAGATGGTGTTTGCTTTTTTTTTTAAAAGATTTTATTTATTTTTAGAGAGGGAAGGGAGGGAGAAAGAGAGAGAAAGAGAAACATCAATGTATGGTTGCTGGGGGTCATGGCCTGCAACCCAGGCATGTACCTTGAGTGGGAATTGAACCTGGGATACTGGTTCGCAGCCCGCGCTCAATCCACTGAGCTACGCCAGCCAGGGGTGTTTGTTTTTTTTAAAGGGCTGTGAGAAAAATAGAAAGAGGAGTACGTGACAGAGACTGTGTGTGTGGCGTGAAAAGGCTGAGTGTTTACTGAGGTCAACTGAGTGTTGACCTTTACGGGAACGTTAACTGAACCCTGAACTAGAGGCGCAAAAGGAGTGCTTCGTGTGCCTGGTTTCCATTCTTGTCTTGGTTTCTGTATAATTTCAAAACTAATTTGATACGCGTTTGTATCTACATTTACATATCATGTCTGAATTTGCATAAGGTTATAAAGGATCTTACTTTGAATGACACAGATGTTTTGACACATGCGATTTTTTTAAAAAATTAATTGCTATGTGAATAATTTTTATCCCTTTTCTTTTCTTAACTTTTAAAAGCATTACCAAGAAAACACGGAGTACGGTTTTGTAAATAGTGAAAATGTGCTCATTGTTTTAATGTATTTTTAAGGGGAGAATGGGGAAAACAGAGAGACTAATTTATTATATTCTAATATGCTGAAGTTTTTGGTCCTAGATATCAAAAGTGAAAAAACTGCCAATATTCTTTAATTTGTGAAATTATATAAACCATTTATCATTAAATATGCCTTCTCTGAACCCTGTAAAAGTGCCACAATTTGGTATCATATTAGCATTATTTCAATATAAATATAATACACAGAAATTTTCACTGGGTGCTTACTATATAACAGATACTACACTTGACAGTGTTGAAGTCGGACATCAACTCAAAACCTCACTTTTTTTCCATCTGCTTCTTACCCACCGTTTGACAAATTGTACTTTGCTACACCGTAGTTTTCTCATTTGCAAATGAGGACAGTAATAGTCGTTTTGTCTGAAGGCTATGAGGAGGCCGTAATGAGATCATCCATTAATGGATGACCTGGTTTCCAACCCTGAGTTACAGTTTATTGACTATTGAACTAATTAAGCACTCCACTAATAAATAGGACACACATGTTCAAACCCCTGCTCTGCTGCAGAGGGACGGCGGCTGGCTGACCTGACCGCTTGGGGCCTCGGCCCACGCGTCTGTAAATGAGTGAGTGCGCAGTGGTCGCATGTGTGTGAAATTCTGAGCGCGAGTTCGGGCCCCGAGTGCCCGATAAATATTGACCATTTAGCTTCTGTCATTTCTGTTCCCTTTACCCTCATCTCCCTCACTTTGTATAGTGTTTGTAACCAGAATTTTATAAAAACACCAAAAACAGAGATGTATGTATATGGGGAATATAAAATCCATTGTTCTACACTCCTGTGTTAATTTTCTGAACAATGTGCTGGTGTGTGGCACTCCCCAGGCTGGAGAAGAGTTGGTCCCCATAACGTCTTTGTGTGGAACGTACCTGTTGCTATTAGTTTTAGTTTCGATGAGTCAGACTGTCAGAGCTGCCCGTGGAGACACAGGGACACTGAAGCGGCAGAGCACCTGGGCCCGTTTCAGAGCCACGGACGTCGGACGTGGACGGGAAACCCGTGGACCTGTTTCTGCGGCAGTGAATCCTTTCCCCGCCCCTTCCTCATGCCCCCAACCCCCTGCCGGCCCCCAGGAGCAGCTCCGCATCCTGTGGGAGCGCAGAGAGAACAGAGGTCGCGTGAGAACATTGTTGGATCAGCCGCGGGGCACCGGGGACATTTGGAACTACGAACCGAACAGCTCTCGCACTGATGCGTGCGGGCACAGATGGGAAGGGGTCCGGGTGGCATGCTGCACGCTGGTCACAGGCAGCGAAGGTCCGGCGGGCGGAGTTAGTTCATTCAGGTCCACAGTCAGTTCGGAGCCATCTGGAAATCGGGGATGAGAACTCACGGTTAAATTTTTAGTTTAAAATAACCTAGGACACACCGTCTTTTAAGGAAATTGAAAAAAAATCATGTTAATTTTTGCTTTCAGGGAATATGGAGCCATTGACGATGTAGATATTGATCTCCATATTGATGTTAGCTTTCTTGATGTGAGTATCAATGGATGCACTATGACAGCTACATTTTTTTAAAAGTTGATTTTTATTGGAGTGGATTTAATTTTTGTTTCTCTTCTAATACTTTTAATAACATATTGACTTTTTCAGAGTGATTTAGGAAGAAATGCCAGTATGACTTGTTGAAGAAACAGATTTTATGTATATATATATGTACTTGTGTTGGCTCCTTTAATATTACACGTCCTCAAATTTACAGTTTAGTGCTCTTAGAATAGTACTTCAGCATTTCTTTTCATTTTTACTTTTACATGAGAAAGCAAAAATTAAAAGTAGTTTGGTTTTCTTTTTACAAACCAGTAGATTTTGAGAAAATCTGTAGGCCTTAATGATTTATGCATGTGTTCAAAGTAAGTTGAAATGTGTTCTAATTGGGAAGCTGCATCAAGGACTCTAAAAAATGATGACTAATTCATCTTCAAAATACATGTATTTGCACAGGAGGAGATTGCGGTGGCTTGGGAAGTGGTTCGAACAGAGCCTATCATTGTCCGACTGCACTGTTCACTTACGCAGTATTTGAACGGCCCAGGTGAGGTTTCTTTCCCTGTTACTTAGAGTTCTAACTAGTTGTACATTGTGCGTTAAGCAACGTGACTGTTCATTTGGTAATTCTGAGCATAATTGCAGCTGTCTTGATCAAGAAATTTAAATGCACCTGCATCCCAACGAAGATGGTCTATTGGCAATCTAACTAACGGAAAGAGAAGCTGTAACATGTAGTTGTTTAGATTTCAGAAGTTGACAAGTTGTTGTGGAACCAGCCCATTAAATCCTCAAAGAGAATGGTGCATAGAGCAATAGCTCAGTGAATATATTTTGGGTTGCCCTTAGATTTAATTATGTCTCTGATTCTGAGATTCAGTTTTAATGTATGTTTTTCTCACCTTTGATTACTGACGAATTGAACCTAAGTGTAGGTTCAAAGACATCTTTCTGTTTTTGAAGACGGAAGTCATAGTAATATTTTCATTTTCCAGTAGCTTTAGGGATGATTTTGCTTTACTTCAAATGATAGCTACTTATGACGAGGGATCCTATTGCAATGGTTTCCAAGACTTACTGGATTAAACTCCTGTTTTCCCAGCTAACATAGGCGTGTGCACACACACACTCACACACTCAACTGGATCAAGTCGCATTGTTCCAGTTGCCTCCTGCTGCGTTACAGACCACCCCAAGCATGCTGGCTCGAAACCGCCCGCCCATCCCTCACCATTCTCGGGTCCAGCTGGGCTGCTCTCGCTGGGAGTCCCCCATGTTTTTGCAGTCAGATGGGTGGTGGATGAGGCTTTTGTCTTTAAAGGCTCCACTGGGTTGGATGCCCAGCAGTCGACACGGTGTCATCTCAGAGCCCAGCTGGGACCGTTAACCAGAGCGCCTACCTCATGCAGGACCCCTTCATGTGGTTTGGGCTTCTTGTAGCAGGGCAGCTGGGTCCCACAGCAAGTGTCCCGAGAGAGAGGGCGTGGCCACTGCCTGGGAGAAGGCTCAGTGAGCCTTCCACTGTATACTCTCGATCACGGTAGAGGAAGCGCCCACCCGGAATCAGGGGACGGGACGTGGGTGGCACCTGCCGAGGTTGAGGTTGCGGCCGTCTTTAGTCCGCTGTGCACACGTCAGCATGGTCTCTGCGTGTTGTATTTTTTCAGGCACGTCAGGGAACTTACATCTACTGTTAGCGTTCACATAAGAAAAGTGGCTGTCCTTTCCAGTTTATGAAGCATAGAGGAAGCGTTCACACTTTGAAAATGATTCTGTCGTCACCTCTTTCCCACTTTGGTATAACGTATTCTACCTAAATAACCCACCCTCAGTACAAATAACAGAGTGAGTGATGTGATTTCATGTGAGGCAAGGGCAAGCAGATATTGTGTACTTTGATCGTTTCAAATGTATACAAACGTGATAAAGAAGAAAAAGAATTATTCATCATCCCTCCATACCCAGGCAGCTGTGTACAGTTTGTTTTCCATGCATACGCGTTTTATTTTCATAAAGCTGACACTGAATCGGTAAGTAGTTACACATCTTAGAGTTGTGTCACGAGACCATCCTCAGTGAGTATTCTAAAATAGAGTGATGCGTGATAGATGCACAGTATTCCAGCCGATAGGTATATATATATTTTTCTTTCTTTTAAATGTGCCTATTTAATTTTATTCTGATAGTGAGTAAAAGAAAAGAAGCCTTGATGTCAGAGCTTTTGTGTTTTTGAATTACCGGGGTCCAGGATGAAACTGGGTCAGTTCACCCCTGCTCTCTCCCCAGCTGCACGTGTGGGAGAGAAGAATATGGCTGCTTGTATGTGACCGCACCACCGTCCCTCGTTTTTAATGTAACCTCCAGTTTCAGGCAGAGATTTCTCTTCACGCTGTCTCTTTGAAGAGTTGGTTTTATAACTAGTTTAACAATTTTATAAATGTGAAGATTTCAACGATTACTGTAATTCATGCTTAGATGATTTTATTGTTCAATATCACTTATTTATAACTCATCCGTAATTTAATTCTTTTCATCTCGTATGTAATAGTTTGTAAAGCAAAGACACAGAGGTCCTGCTTTTTTGTCTTTTCTGCCTGAGAACGGCCGGCCCTTTGTTTGGTGAGCAAGACAAGTTTGATGGAGTATAAATGTATGGGGTCCTCATATTTCCCCCCCAGAAGACAAAAATGCTTTAGAAAAAAATTACGCTAGTTTGTATCTGAAGTGTTTTAACTTTGTTCCCTTGTAAGAAAGCTGTTCGATTTTGTTCAGTTCGTTATGTGTACTTACTGTGCTATTTTTTCTGTTTCTCCTCGATGTTCTTTTGTATGTTTTTTATTGATATGCTTAAGTCTTAATTCACCTCAAACAACTTTTACGTAATCATTTTGCTCCTCCTTCATCTACCCACCGTGGTATATGTGGGTTAGATCGAACACCTCCGTCTCCCGTTCGCTGTGTTTTGCTGTGTGATAATGCACACATTGTTGCCCAAATTTCTGAGGGAGAAATAAGGATGCACGTGATACACGGGTATAATGATCACATGCCGTGGATACAGTAATGGATGTGACGACCCCACGTGCAATGCGCACAAACCTGAGTGTGCGTTGCACATGGGAGCACATTAATTGCTCCCAGGAGAAACCACTGCTGCCTGTCATTTATCTTAGTTTTTCATCCTTCATCTCCGAGTGGGTTGTACATTTTTTCCCCCATTTGTCTTCTACTCTATTAAGTAGACATTAAGACTCCATTAAGAATTTCTTCTTCATTCAGTCTTCGATTAATGTCTCCCTTCTATTTTTGATTTAACTACCATCGTCACTGACCTCACTTACTCTTTCCTCTTTCTCATTAATTGCATTCATTTTGTTTGTGTACTATTGGTCTGAATTGTGCAAATGTCAGTCAGTCATCGTCCACCTGATGATTTCATTCCTATAGATGGAGTTTTGTTTTGCTCGGCATGGAAGCAGGAGCTGAAATGTGCTGCTTTCAGGAGTTAGTGTGGTTTGTGTGTAATTTTTTCGGTTAAGAAGGAAGAAAGAATTGCGCCCTTTCTCTTCTCCAGGTGCATTAGTCTGAGACCTGACAGCTGAGGGGGTCTGTGACTCTGCTGGTGCCGCCCACTGACCCCCTCCCCAGGGTCTTCATGCTCTGCTGCCAACAGGGACCTGGGCTTCCCCATTAGACACGGTGGAGCTCGCTCTCTCCCGGGCAGTCCTCACCTGCGCCCTCACCCTCCGGTGTGGCTGGTGTGCGTGTCCTGTGGCCCAGCTACCCTGCCCTGAGTCCGGATGCGCTTTGTCCTGTGACTTATGCCCCAGTGTTCCCCACTGGGCCAGGCCGAAGCGGGGACTGGACCCTTTTCCTGTCTTCCTCCTCCTCCTCTGGCCCCCTGTTGGTTTCTCCTGGGAGCAATGTCATAGTCAGCTCTCGGGCCCAGATCTTCACTCGGGGTCTAACTTGACCTTAGATGGTGGGTCCCAGGAGCAAGGGGCCAGAAAGAGGTCCTAGTCTGCCTCAGGAGGGAGCCCGCTAGTCCGCCCCTCGGGGAAACTGCTCTGAGGCACGTATTTAGGGGTGCATTAGTGGGGTCTTCCTTAGCTTCCTTCCCCGTGGTTCCGGGCACGGGGGCTTCATGGGGCCAGCCCTGCAGGGCCCCTTCCCTCTGTCCTGTCTGTGGCAGAATCCTCCGCGTGTTTCTCGCGTGGAGATGACCTCAGTGCGAGTCCCCGTCCCTTTCGCTGGTGCCTCCTGTTTCCATCGCGCACTGGCCACGAGGAAGCTCCCTCCAGCCCACGCACCCTCACTGCTGTCTCAGGAGGGCGTGTCCCCAGAGGTTATCTTCTTCTTAGGGAGATTTCAAGGGAAACATACCATTTAAAATGGGCATTTCTGGGACACACATGACAATAACAAGAGACAGTGAAACTAAAAAGGAACGTATTTATTATTCTGGAAAAGAACAGTTAGAGATCATTTTTCACTTTATGATATGTATTACTGCAAGCAAATACAATGGTGAGGAAGTATCTCTTGACTGTTTGCAACATGTCTTGGAGGGTATCAGTATTTATGGTAAAATTAACTTGAAAAGCTGTATGACTAATACAGGGTTTGGATTGACCTCGTTGAGAGTTCTTTTTGAAACACTTTTATTGCTAGGCTCTGGGAAGGTTTGAATCATACTGTGCGAACTAAATTTGGCTAGGGCTAATCTGACCACATATCTGTGAGTGAACAGGAGTGATAAGATTGGAAGAAATAGGCTTCCTTATCCACCTTGAAATTAAAGATAAGGTTTATCTTTATTGTAAGTGGGGAAATACACTCTAAGTAAAAAGAAATGAGGGTTACGATTCTTAGGATGTTATATATATTTTTCCAGAGCTGTTGGTATGTGGGTCTGGTTTCTGATCTCAAGAATAGGGACGCTTTGACTTTGAAGTGGTGCACCACTGACATTGAAAGGTTCTTCTGTGCAGATCATGTTATGTTGGAGACCTCGCTGTCCGCGCGCTGAGAGTGTTGGAATGATTTCCACGTGTCTTAAGCGGCCGTTCCCAACCTGAACTGTATGACAGGGAAAATTTGAGTGACTTTCACCTTCTTAAAAACATGAACCTATTTATTCGTATATTCTGTCAAATGCTCTTTTTTTTAAAGATTTTATTTATTTATTTTTAGAGAGGGAAGGGAGGGAGAAAGAGAGAGAGAGAAACATCAATGTGCGGTTGCTGGGGGTCATGGCCTGCAACCCAGGCATGCGCCCTAACTGGGAATTGAACCTGCGACACTTTGGTTCCCAGCCCGAGCTCAATCCACTGAGCTACTCCAGTCAGGGCTTCAAATACTCTTTTAAACCGTTGACTGGTGAGTGGTGAGCGCCTTTTCTGAGAGGCTATTAATTTCATAGCCATCGTTGTTAACTCACAGAAACAGCCCAAACAGGGAGCCCGTGGCGGGGCGTGCTCCGGTGCCTCACTCTCGTCCCCTGTGGTCTTGTTACAAAAACAGTGTGGGCTTGCACACACCCCTCTCTGCCACCGGGAGAGAAGTGCACCAGGGGGTCCAACCTGCAGCCCAGGATGGCTGTGAAGACGGCCCAACACAAAATCGTACAGTTACTTAAAACAGTAGGAGATTTTTTTTGTGCTTACGTGTCACAGTGTATTTAATGTGTGACCCAAGGCAACTTCTGCTCTTCCAGTGTGACCCAGAGATGCCAAAAGGCTGGACATCCCGGTACACTGTCCTACACGTTCCTGTTTACACTTACTATGTGTACTTTAAAGATTATTGTATATATACTATACAGGGTCTGGCAGAAGGAGCGTGGTTGGTAGCATAATAATAGGGGTGTCATTTATAGTTTTGATTTTAACATTTCACCTAAAACATCAAATGGTGTGTTTAAGTATGATATTGTCATGTTGCAGAATTACATGCTTATGATTTTGTAATGAAAGATTTTGCAATAAAAGAGGGGTATTATTAGTGCTGGACCCTGTATTTATACACACACATACTATACCTTAGTGTATAACAATCAGTAAGCAACAATGATCGTCAGAATCTCTGTAATGAAGCATAAAAGTGACGCATAGCACTGTGCCGCACCATTTTTAAATGCGTGTATATCACATACCATACAACGTATAAGTAGGCGCCTGTGTGACTCTTCTTCTAGGTACGACGTTCCTTCTGTGTGCGCGCACGCAGGGTTACATGTGTCGCTCCCCTTTCTTGCCCGGCTGACGGTGGAATGCCAGCTCCCCATTTCGACTGATCTTTTTTCCCTCTTTGCAGTGCCCACTGTTGATGTCTTTCAGATTTCCACCAAAGAGCGGTTTGGATTGGGACATCAGCTGAAGAAGTAAGTTTTCCAAAGAATAAGAAATCACTTTCTGTGCAGGAGACCCAGGCTGTCCCTTGCTCTCATCATTCCCCCCCGTTTTGAAGTGAGCGCCTCCTTAGCTGGCAAAGCCGGAGGTCAGAGCTGGGCTGTGTCCCCTCGGCCTCCCAAGGTCACCCTCCCCTCCCCTCCAGCCGGCGCGGCACCTGTGAAGGCTGCCAGGGAGGACCCGGGTCCCTGTGTCCCTCAGGGCACCCGCGGGAGGAGCCAGGCCCGTGGGAGTATTTCCTGCCTCTGGGTCTCTCCTGTGAGTTGCCCTCCGGTGACTGGTCACCACTGAGGTCTGTGTGCTCCGGGCTTTGCCTGACTCTCTCCCCCGTGGGTTCTAGTGACGGCCCCTCTGCGTGTCCCCTGGTGCTCAGAGATGGGAGCAGTTCTGCAGAGACTGCCAAGGCTCTCGCTGCGCCCCTTTGAAACGGTCCTTTTGTAAAGAAACCCAGTACTCTCTGTTTGGTCCTTGACTCGTGCCATGAGCCGATTTATCTCTTGTGGACATAGATCTGCCCCACTCGGCCTGACTTGTGCAGCATGGGCGTGCACCTCAATTAGCCACAGTCAGAATCTAAACTTAATAAATTCCATAGTTATTAGAATATTAGCCTTAAGAATTTGTACTTACGGAGACATCCAAGGATTACTTATTTTCCCAAATTCAGCTCCACACTGTAATATGACATTTAAATCTTGCTGCGATCTTGGATGAGGAAAATCTTCAAAACTTAAGTGTACATTAAAAATCTTCTCTTGTCCTGAGCTCTGAGGTGACTTTCTAATGAACTGGTATTGCGCACCATTATCAGTTTCACGCCTTCCTTCCTCCCTCGCTACCTCCACCGCTGAAAAGACCCAAAATAATTCCGCATGTGACAGCCGACCTCATGTAAGCCAGCAGACAGCGGCTGGGGTGGAAAGTCGGAGAGCTGTACCTCCGTTGGTGCCCGTTAGTCTGGGGACACCTGAAGGGTCCTGAGAAGTTAATACTGGCTCAGTGCCTAGAGCCACACCTGTCCCTTTCAATGACATACGTGTCTACACGTGTCAGTCCGTATTTGGTAATGCAGGTGTGATCGCTGTCGTTTTACTCTACAGGCTGACGTAGGCAGATTCTGTTTCCTTCCCTCATTTGTGGACACCTGCAACAGTAACTTCTTTCTGCGGGTGTCGTGAGACTTAAAGAGGAAAAAGTCTGTATTTGAGGTTCATGTTTTACTCACTGGTGTACTGTAAGTTACAAACAAATGATAGTACCATTTTTCTGTTGCAAAAACAATCCATGTTCCCAGTAGCCGAGAAGAGCGTGGAAAACAAGCAGTGCGGGGTTGACTCGAAAGGCAGTCAAGATACTGAATGTATTGTACACATCATGCCTAATTGCAAAAGTTCCCGTCTACTTAAATGATCAGACCTAAAGGGGCCACGGCCACCTGAAAGAGGGGCCACAAAGAAGATGCTGCCCCTTGAGACGCTTCTCAGAAAACAGGGCAGGGCCTGAGTCCACAGTGGGCATGCCAGGATTCTTGGCCACGCACTGCGGGAAGTGAGCTTGACTTAGCACACGTTGATGCAGGGGTTCCCGGTCCCTGCCTTCTGATAGTCACTGAAAATTAAAAAAAAACATCATATTTATAGGTGAAATGGGCTGTACCGAAGGCAGAATGTACTGATTTCCTATTTTTCTAGGAAGTTGGTTTCCCCCGGCTTAGTTTTCCTTAAAATTATAGTTTTATTCTGCTGTACTTCTCACGAAGAACAACAGGCAAATCGAGTAAAAAGAAACTGATGTTGCTTGTATCCTCATAAATAACATTGTAATTATTAAGAATTTTTCAAACCGCGTGCCTGGCACCAACAAAATAGTTCAGATTTTATTTTGCCACTTCCGCCACATTCACGCACCCAGGGCTGTCACTTTATAATCTCTAGAAATCCATTTATATCCTCCTTTGATCAATTCTTCTGTCATTGGTATTTTAACTATGTCGTGATGATATATTAATAATTCATAAAGTCAAAAAGTTCCTGCGTGGTGCTTTTTGCATGCAGAAGCATCGTGCGTTGCTCTGCAGCAGCCTCTCGCTAATAGCTGCTTGTTTCCCTTCGAGGGAAGCGCTCTCTGCATAATAAACAGCGCGATCCGATACTAAGTGTCCCCGGGGCTGTGCTAACTGACTCCCTTTGGGTTGGCAGGATCATGCAGACGTTCGTCACGCAGCAGTGGAAACAGAGCAAAGAGAAATCCAGTTGCCTGCACAGCAAGAAGCTGTCGGAGAAGAAAGCCAAGTCCCCCCTGCATTTGTTTTCTACCTTGCGCAGGTGGGTGGCAGGTCCTTCGCCCTGCGATGCTAGGTGCTGCGCACGCGATCCCACCGTCGCTCGGTTCAGAGCAGCCTGCCCCGTACTCCCGCATCAGAAGAGGCAGCGAGATACATGCACTTCATCAAAAACTGCTCTCTTCGGCTTACTCTGATACATTTTCGCTCTCCAGTCACAGAGTTTTCTCCACCTAAACTAGTTCCATAAAGCACTCTGGAGTAAGTAGGAGGGGAAAAACCTGATGATCTTTTCTTGCTTTTCAGGAAAAATGCATTTCAGCTCCTGTGACCACTCCGCACACACTTTAGATTTCCGTTGTAGCTGGGTAGGCTGACCGTGCGGTGGCGATTGTTGCGCAGCTGAGTTCTGCTCCTGCTGGGGCCCTCTGCTAATAATCCCTGTTCCATTTTGAAGGTCGCCAAGTTACCCTCCCCCCGGCTGCGGTAAAAGCAAATCCAAGCTGAAACCCGAGCAAGACGGCATCTCCAAAACGCACAAGCTGCTGAGGAGGACTTGTTCCAGCACCGTCAAGACGGAGGACGCGTGCGCCTCCAAGGCGCAGCACCGGGGCTTCGGCCGCTCCCTGTCCAGCGACCCCCGGGCGGAGCAGGCGCCGCCCCCCCTCAAGCCGCACAAGCTGCTGGCCCGGCCCTGCCCCGCGGCCGCCAAGCAGGAGGACGGCCTGGCCCTCAAGCCGCACAAACTGCTGACTCGCTCCTGCTCCGGGGACCCGCGCTGTGAGCACGGCGCCACCCTGAAGCCCCACAAACTGCTGAGCAGGTCGTACTCCAGCCACCTGCGCGTGGACGAACTGTACGGGCTGAAAACCCACAAGCTGCTCGGCAAGCCGTCCGCCAGCGCCCCCAAGTCCTCCAAGGCGGAGCTCTGCCCGGAGCCCCCCGCAGCCGCCGCCGCCGCCGCCGCCGCCGAGGGCCGGAGGCTCTCTCTCACCTCAGGGCTTATTGGTATCTTGACCCCGTCTTCATGCTCCTCTTCCCAGCCCGCTGTGCGTACCCGTTTTTCCTCTCGGGTTCTTCCGCCGTAGGCCGCGGTGCAGCCGGAGAGGCTTTGTAGAGATGGGGAGAGATCTGGTGGAAGGAGAGAAGCACGATTTTGTTTGCTTTTGATAATGTGCTGGTTTTTGTAAACGTTATGTTGCATACCAGACATTTGCAACAGGTACTGGAATGTGAGTTTCGGTTCTGGAGAAAAAAAATATATATATAAATGTGGTTATTAATTTGAGGTCCAGTGCAAATGGTAATGAGTGCTCCTGCAAATGGAGAGATGCCAGTTGCAGTCACAGAGCCCGTCTTTGTAAGCAAGCTAAAATTTTAATGTTTGATTAAGTAGGTTTACCTGATCTCTAGTTTTCTCACATAAGGAGTGGAAGGTAAGGTTTGTCTCTAATAACTCACTTAAGAGTATTGCCCTTTCTGTTATGTCTAAGAGGAAACTTCCTTGGCCCGTGAACACCATGACTTGTACAGAGAAGCCACATTTATAGCTGAATCCTCTTTGCCTCACTTGAAGCTGCTCTTGGTGGCTATGAACCCAGTGACCTGATCTTAAAGCTGGTTTTGGGGGTGGAGAGAGAGGAGAGGTGACGGTATTAAAACTTAAGGACTTGGGTGGTGTTGGAAGTCAGTTTTACACAAAATTTGCCTCCAAAGTGATCTGCGTTATAGTGCGTTATAGTCAGTTTCAGGTAAAGAAATAGACCTATCATATGTATATAGTTCACATGACATAGCTGATACAATATTTGCTTTTGCTAAGTGTGTGGGAGGGTATCTGTGATGGGAAGGCCATATTTATTTCTTCAATGTTAATATGGATACACCTAGCCATGACGAAATTGCAAAAAGAAAAGATTGTTTTTAAAATGTTGTATTTCTCATATACATTTATTTCTACAGTTCAATTGTTCATTTTACCACAAAAAAACGTATTTGTGTTAAGAAAATGTATTTGGATGGATTGATAATTTTAGACAGGCATCCTTAGAGCCCATTTCTTACTAAAACTGGTGTTAAGGACGTACAGAAAATAATGTCAAAGTTCCATTGTAGAAAGTTTCCTGTGTTAGTTAGACCTAAGATAGATAATCTCAGATTCTATAAAAGAAAATGTCTTGCTGTTCTCTCGTGTGGTTAAGCGTAAGCATCATAGTTTGGAGTTGAAGCTTTTCAGGCCCTGACTAATGACTTTAAAGGGTTAATTCTACCTGACTGTAAAGTGAGTTTGAAATACTCGAAGGGAGGAGGCGGGAGCCTTTGCCCATGAGTAACAGAGGAAATATGTTTATTCGTGATCATGTAAAGATGCCAGTCATGTTTACTAGAAGATCAGAAATGAGGACTATTCATTTATCTAGGAAAAGATTGCAATAGTAATGGCAGAACATCAATTACCATACAGAAACTCCACAATCCCAGTGCCCTATCAGTGACTCAACTCCTATTACAGGTGACCCTAGAAAGATCACGTCTATGTTCACAGTTGTACAAAGTAACAGGCTATCATCCCCATTTTTAAATTTATGTTTGTTTGTTTGTTTGTTTTACTTTGCTTTTTATAGGCAAATGGTGCCAAATGCATTCCAGTACGAGATCGTGGTTTCCTGGTGCAGGTAGGAGCGAAGACCCCAACCGCTGTAGAAATATTTTAGTTTTGAGTGGGTGTTTTTTTTAAAGATTTTATTTATTTATTTTTAGAGAGGGAAGGGAGGGAGAAAGAGAGAGAGAGAGAAATATCAATGTGCGGTTGCTGGGGGCCGTGGCCTGCAACCCAGGCATGTGCCCTGACTGGGAATCGAACCTGCGATGCTTTGAGTGGGGTTTCAGACCACGTGTGACCTTGCCCTCCTGTCTCTCCGCGTCGTGCGGCCCAGACCATCGAGTTTGCGGAGCAGCGGATCCCCGTGCTGAACGAGTACTGCGTGGTCTGCGACGAGCGCCACGTGTTTCAGAACGGCCCCATGCTGAGGGTGAGTCCCCGCCGGCGGGGCGTCCGTGTCGATGCCGCACGTCCTGGGGAGAGGGTTGAGCTGCGACAATGAGCAAGGAACTGCCTGGGCAGTAAATGCTTTCTGGGGAGCAGATTATTTAACACCCAAAGGGGGAGAGTTTTGACCAGCGAGGCACTGTCTCTGAAGGAACCCGTGCACCAGCAAGTAGTGTTGCCACAGGGAACTGTTTCCCGTCGTGTTTCCTGCCTGTGCCTGTCCGTGCTCTCCCTTCCTGTCCCTTTATCTCCGTGCGTCTGTGTGTCCGCCTACTTGTATGTCCTAGATCATCTGTGCCGTGTGGATGGAGATAGACATCAATGTCCAGGCCTATGTATGGAAACCTGTGCACGGTTTTCTTCAGAGCCAAACAGTTTAAGGTGCTTGCTGCAAGGAGAGGGTCGTCTTCATTCCAGTTAGAACAGGCATATAGTAGCATGCAGAAAAGCAGAATAACGATTTCAGAAAACGCCAGCTCACTGACACAGACATTCAGGGTGTGATTGAGGGAGTACAGAAATAAAGTCAATGTGCATTGTGGGGAGAATTATCCAGTTTCAAGCTTTGCCATTTTTTATTGAGATACAATGTATAGAACAGTCTTTACTATTTTTTATTATTTTATTTTCTATTGTTCAGTTACAGATGTCCTCGTTTTCCCCCCATGACTCTCCCCTGCCCTGCCCAGCCCCCACCTTCCATGTTTAGTCCCTCCCCCCATGCTGTCCTTGTCCGAGAGTCCTTTATTCACGTCCCTTGCCTTGACGCCCCACTTCTTCCCCCCGGAGTCCCCTGCCCCGTCTGGTATTGTTTACTATTTTCATGTGGACTATTTATTGGATCTCAGTGTGTTCGCAGTGTTCTGCAACCATTGCCACTCGCTAATTCCAGACCGTGTCCGTCACCCGTGAACGAACCCCTGTGCCTGTTGACCGTGACTCCCAGCTTTTCCTTCCCTGCACCCCCGGCAACCACTGACCTGCTTCCTGCGTGAATGCGCCTGTTCTGCACGTTTCATGCAGATACAATCACACACTGTGTGGCCTTTTAGTTTGGGCTTCTCTCCCGCTGATGTTTTCAGGGTCCGTCCACGGAGCGTGGATCTGTGCTTGACTCTCTCCGTGGTAGAATAATGTCACATGCCACGGGCACGCAACATTTGTGTGTCCACTCACGGATCAGTGGGATTACTGGGACACACCCACTGTGTTTAAGGTTTTGAGGAACTACCAAGCTATTTTGACCTTTTAGTATTCCTGCCAAAGGTGTATGATGGTTCGTTTCTCCATGTCTTCTCACCCACACACACACACACACACACACACATTTATGTATAGCCATCATAGTGTGAAATTGTGGTTCATGGTGATTTTGGTCTGCACTTTCCTAACGACTAATGATTGTGAGTGTCTTGTCATGTGCCTGTCGGCCATCTGTGTGTCTTCTTCAGAGAAAGGCCTGTTCCGATGCTGTCCCCATTTTCAGGCTCTTTGCTGTTGTTGTTGAGTTGGTAAGAGTCTATATAGATATATAGATATATAGACTCTTTAGATATATATGAGTCTATATATCTATTTAGCTTATAGATATATAGATATATGCTAAATATTCTTATTAAATATATGATTTGCAAAAATTTTCTTTTTTCTGTGGGCTTTTTTCAATTACTGTTGATGTTCAGTATTCCAGATTGGTTTCTAGTGTACTGGGTTTTCTTTTTAAATTTTCGTTTATTAATCTTATTGTAGTGACATCGGTTAATGACACATAAATTTCAGGTGTGTCGCTCCAGGACTCGACCTCTGTATGCTCCGCCATGTGCTCCTGCGGCACACGAAGTTCTTAATTTTGATGGAGCCCAAGTTGATCAGTGGGACTGTTGGATAATTCAAGATCTCAGAGATTTTTAGCTATGTATTTTTTCCTAAGAGCTTCATAGTTTATATCTTAATGTTTAAGCCATTGTACTTCAAGGTTTATACTTTAGAAAACGTATGTAATAGGCATCTACAAGCATAATTGTCAGATTTTATGATATATTTGTTTCATTTTACTTTTTATTAGAAACATATACAAAATTTTTTCTTTGCTACTCCTATGCATTTTTTTTTGCCAGTTAGCTTTTTTCTCACAGACCTGTATTGCCATTCTGAAACCCAGATTTAACTAAGTCAGCATTTGTTTATTATATATCTGCATAAATTATTTTTATTTGGGCATGGTAATGTGTAGTTGTGCAAATAGGGAATGCCCTTTGATCATCTCGGTTTATCCCCGGAGGAGGTGTGTTTTTACTTGTGGGTGTCCGTCCACCTGTTGACCTTGGTCTGTTTAGCTCGGTCCCCAACAGTGTCGTGTCTGCTGCAGGAAATAATAGTGTTGGTAATAATGGCGCGTGCTGCTTTGAGAGCTATTTATGTGACCCTCTGTTCAAAGTGCTTTCTGTGGGTTATCTCATTTACCCATCCTCGTAGTAACCCTGAGGGATGGGTAGTATCGTTACTATCTCTGCCTTACAGATGAGGGAAACGGTTACTCACTCAATGTCACACTGCTATGAGGTGACAGAGGCAGGATTTGAACTCGGGCAGAATGGCACCGAGGCCGTGGTTCTGTGTCATGGAGGGACCCTTGACTTGTGTACTTCAGTTGGCTTCTCCTGCATCCTGGAAATTTACTCTACACGTCACTGGGGTTCACTCTTTGTGGTTTAATTAGTGGCAGTTCTTCCCTAGAATAAGTGACAGAAATCTCACAGTTGCTGTTGGTGTTCTCTATCCCTTAGTTCAAGTTTTGTTTCACTTTATATCATTTTGAACCAATGAAATTGACCGTTTTGGAAGTAGAAGCATGCTTGTAAACAAGAGAGAAAACAAGATTTTCTAAATAAATATGACTAGTTACCTATTGGTTGTTATGTTGCTATAATTCAGACTGATACCTAAGGAACTCAGAAAAATTACTTTGGTTTCTTAAATAGTAAGGTGAGTGACAGAGGAAATCAGATCGGGAAATGACAGTCAAAGAGACATTTCTAAGTCAAAGGAAGACCGGTAAACAAAGTTACGCCTTTGGTCCCGTTAGAAATTTCACCTAAATCAGGCTCACTCAGTTTTTCTTTCTCTTTCTTAGATCTGTTGCAATATGTTTTAGTAAGATTTTAATAGTAATTTAATTTCTTATGGGATATTAATAATGTGAGTCACTGACCATTTATTCAGTCCATGTGACATGTCACAAACCCATAAATCCCAGAGATACAAGGAGAATAATTTATAACCCAATTGGTGATTAAACAAGTCAGATAAAGCTCTCTGGTTTCCATAGAATCCTGTGTCCAAAATGCTACTGCCTTTGGGAGATCTTCCTGTTTCACAGTTCACTGTCTTTCCTAATTTTGTTCTCTTTTCTCCAAGTCTGTCTTTTCAATATGACCAAAGCCCTCTCCCCCCGCACCTCCAAATCCCTAAAGTTTTAGTTTGCGTCTACTCTTCGGTCGTTAGGCTCAGCTCTACGGGAGCCTGCCACGGGTGTCTGCCACGTGGGGGACTGAATTGCTTCTTTAGACACAGCAGAATGCTCCAGTTTTCTCTTTTGTTTACAAAGTTGATACATAAACATCACTCCCAGGTGTGAGTTCTCATGTATAACACCCCAATCTGCATAAAACTCCCATCAGCATCGGGAGGATTACTCAGAGATGCCCAGCCTTCCCGTGGGGCGGCGAAGTTTCGATCTTCATCAGAAAAGCCACACCCACACCAAGTCACGGGTTCCCTGTATTTTGTTTGGATCAGCTAGAGTGTTAGTGCAGCGACTGCTCAGAGATGCTAATTACATGTCGACGTCTTCATCACGGGCTTTGCCCAGCAGGAAAGGTTGCATGGACAGAGCTCACTCAGTCTCACCAGCCTCCGAGTCCCTCGCGCCCTTGCCTTTTCCTCACACCCACCCGGGCACCCCGGTCCTGCATCAGTGCGGCTGTCTTCTCCCATCCCCGTCCGTGAGCTGCCGAGCTGCGAAGGAGAAAACCACACGGTTGTGTAGATAGTGTTTCTACAAAGTGAGCAGTTTGCCCTTGATACTGGCGGTCATTCTGTGTGTCCTTGGTTAATAGACTTTCCCGTTACCCACGTCAGCTTATGATGTAGGAACTGTGACCTCGTTTACTCCTCTGGCCGTGCGAAGGTGACCCGGGTGACTTGCTCTGAGTGGATCCATCAGTCTGGCAGTCCGTTCTCACCACCGGAGAACATTGCCCAGTCCGGCTATAGCAAACTCAGCCGGGAAACCTGAGAATCTGTATGTTTGAGTATCCAGCCTTACTGTCAACCTTACACAAATATTCATCACTAAGGTTCTTCTTTTCAGAGTGAAACGAATAATACTCAGTTATAATTTGGTCATAGTTTAAAGCATTTCCACGAGAATTCTTTAGAAACTGAGCGTGTCTATAAACCTGGGTATGTCCTGTTTTACCTCCCAAGAGGAGAAGAGCCAGGTGTTCCTGTGTTCCGGTCTGACCTTTGAGAATGGATGAAAAAGTATGTCCTATTCAGTCCTGTTTGTCCATGCCTGAAAGCTGGGATTTTAAGGTCTGAGCTACAGGCTAAGCTCAATAACAATTACACCAAGAAGCTTTTAGTTCAAAAGTGTGATTTTCTTTTACATCCAAATTGAGTGGAAACTGGTTTTGATGATCAGACAATAACTCTACTTGTAGGAGACAGTCGGGGTCACCATGTGTTGGGGTGTAGTCCGGCCTTATCCTGTCTTCTGTGGACCTGTGTCGGTCTCTTTGGGATTCCTGTCTTTCTTGATGTGCAGTAAATCTTTTTCCTCCCCCAATGTGCGTTTCCCCCAAAACGTGAGAAGAACCCAAACCATTGATTATAAAACCAGATATACAGAGAATTAAAGGCTTGCAGGTTTTGTATTTCTGTTTTAGCGAGAAAGATTTTAGCAATGAGTTAAGAATTCCGATGCACGAAATTGAAAATAAAAATACTACCTAATGTGCTTCAGTACAAGTTTTTACTAAACACTTATTTTTGTGCATACCTTGGGGAAAAACAAGAAGAGGCAGCTAATCTAGGTTATCTAATATTGTTGATATTTGCACAGCTCTCTACCTCCAGGAAGTTTTACAAACGTCACCTCACTTGATTCTCTTCCTTGGTTGGCCCTCTTACCAGCCTGGAGAGCCGGATGCGATTTTTATCCCTGTTCTGCACGTAGGAAAACCGAACCATGCGTGCATGCTCCTGCTGGAGTAGTGTCCACTTTTATCTTTTTTCCATGTTGGGTTTGCATATAATGCTCTGTGTGAACAAAGAGGTTGGCAAAGGTCTGAAAACTACTCACCTATACCATGCCAAGCTGATTTCATTGAAATATAAAATTCAAAATGTGTTCCGCTTAGCTTAAAAACCTCTAAAATAAGTTTTATCTTAGGGACAAAAAATCCCCCATGCTTTTAAATGGTGCATAATGAATATTAACTTGCAAATGTGGTGTGGAATGGTGAGAGGCACTCACCTTGGTTTTACAGTCTAAATGATAGGGGCTTGCTGCTCGAAAGCAATATAATACTGTAACATGGAGAACAGGTAATGTTTCCAAGTTAAAACGAATTATTGTGAGAGCAAAAATGAAGGCGCAGCCCCGGCTGGGGAGTTCTGCTGGTGATGGTGCTGCCCCGATTCACCAGGGTTGCGAGCTCGGTCTCCAGCCAGGGCACAGACCAGAGTCAACCCGTGAATGCATCGATTGTTCCTCTCTCCCTCCCTCGCCCTCTCTCGCCCTCTCTCTCCCTCCCTCTCTCTCTCCCTCCCTCTCTCTCCCTCTCCCTCTCTCTCTCTCCCTCTCCCTCTCTCTCCCTCTCTTTCTGTCTCTCCCTCTCCCTCTCTCCCTCTCCCTCTCTCTCCCCTCTCTCTCTCTCTCCCTCTCCCTCTCCCTCCCTCTCTCTCCCCCTCTCTCTCTCTCTCCCTCTGTCTCCCTCCCTCCCTCTCTCTCTTTCTCTCTCTCTGTCTTCCTGCCTCTATGTCTCTAAAATCAATCAATGAAAAAAGTTAAAAAAATGAGCTAGTAAGTACTGTACGCATTTGGTTATATTTAAGCACACATAAAGTATGTATAATAAAACACATCATTTCACTTATCCAGTAATAGCTGTTAAATTACTACGTTCTCTTTTGAGTCAATGCCCAACTTTTCTGTGTAAGTAACATAGTAGCAGTGGAGTTTGTGTGTGGGGTAAGGGGTTAGCTGGGAGTTGGTTCAAGGTGTGAGAATGCTAATCCAAAATGTAACTCCTCATTTCATTAAGGAAGAGTGATTCAGGGTCTCCTGTTGGAGTAACAGGTACTTCCTGTGAACGATAGCTGTGTCTTGGTTACGTAATATGATTGGAGAGCTTTCTTTTAGGGTTTCATCTTGAGTTGACATTTGAACTTCTCACAGAATGTGGATAAACCTGGGAGGAAGGGAGGGAGGGGCCTCAGTAGTCTACAAAAACTAGTTTGTGAATGTTCATCTCAAAATTGACTGCTTTATATTTCTAAAAGTGACCTTCCAGTCTAGGGTAGCAGGTTATATTTTATTTCATTTTCCTTGTCATTGTTTAAGGCAACAACTTGAGACCAAAATGCCTGGAGTGTGTACGTGCACACTCACACACACACACACCTATTTGAACAATCACAAACTAAGTGTGGTTGATTGTCCAAGGTTCAAATGAAAATACAAAAACCAATCCTTACTCCTGTACACTTAACAAGGCTTTGGGATTGATGAGTTTAGTCATAGGAAGTGGTTACGTGGCACGGGCATTAAAAATAAAGCGCTTTCTGTGTCTCTTCACTGCCTCAGTGAACTTCAGGTAAGTGGGGCGTGAATTTGTTTCCCGAGCCCCGAATGGGGTCCAGAGGTCATCCTCCTCCCCCCGGACTCCCGTTTGGATACAGTTTCACTGTACTCAGACACCAGCACTGGCGTTGGGCACTGTGGCAAACGCACCACAAACGATGGCTTTTATCGTTTCAGACTGCACCGTGCTCCCAGAAAGTAAACCAAAACAAAAGAAACAGGCCAGTGTTAGTGGGGGAAATTGAGGGTTAAACATGTAAGCACTTAGACACACACACACACACACAGTAGAAGATTCAGAACGAGTTAACCATTCAGATAAAAGAAACAGAAACCGCACAGCCTGCTCTGAGTATATCCGGCTATAGAGGGTCGTCTGTGTTGCTTGAGTCTAGAAAGATGAAGAACTTTTTTCCAGTGGATTCCCTCCCATAGGCAGCTTTTCCTGACATTTCTGAAATGGACTCAAACTGTGCATTTCAGGCTGACACGGGAAATCTATCAGCCCTTTTATTTTTTTCCCCTAAAATTCTTTCTCTCAGGGGCCCGTCAGCCGGAAACCTTTGAGATCGGTCATGCTTTATATCCACAAAGCCACCGTGGGAGCCCACTCTCAGCACAAAGATGACCCGAGCGGGCCCGCTTCCCCGAGGCTACGCCGCACACCAGCCGTCCTGAAATGGGCAGGCGCGGGGCAGGGGCCCCAACAGACGCCTCCTCTCTGCGGCGTGGGGCTCCGCCGACTGCCTTGGGTTCGGCCCCATCGGCTACCTAATGCAATGTAACTCGGCAGACGGGATCAGTCACACCGATGACACCGGGTTAGATTTGAGAGATGAGAGGGAGCTCTTGCAGGGCAATTGCGCCTGTCTCTTTCCATGCTGTTGACGCCAGGGGGTTAGTGAAGTCAAAAGTCTTTGCGGCAAAACCAGTCTTGCAGGAGCTGGGGAGCAGGGAGGCAGAGGCATGCCCCTTTCTTCCAAAGAAAGTCTCTTAGGAAAAGGTGGCATTCTCCTGTGTTGGCTTGTTTTACACAGATGTGAGGTTGAACCTCAGTTTTTGTTGCGTCGCCAGCTTAAGTATCTGCTTTAAAAAAAGAAAATATATCTCGTGCAAATGTATTTGATCAGGAGAGATGGATTTTTCAGCTTAGGCATATTTTTATATTTATATACTGCTGAATCGTTCTTACAGCAGGTGCCTGCAACTTACCGTGATGGATTTCTCCGCCCCATTTGTGACTGCATCTCAGGAAATGTGTAGTTACCCGTTGTGACCTAGAGACAGAAATTTTCACCGAAGTGATAGGACTCCCTCTCTCTCTACCATCATCCTAAAACCTCGTCTGTCCCCGTTGTCAGGGTCATGCCATGACTTTGACTGAGGGGAGCTGGGGGATGGAACGAGTAAAAGGTGGTAACTGACCCCTCCTTCTTCTGCAGCCCACCGTGTGTGAGCGCGAGCTGTGCGTGTTCGCCTTCCAGACGCTGGGCGTGATGAACGAAGCCGCCGACGAGATCGCCACGGGGGCTCAGGTACTGACCCGGACGCCCGTCGGTCCTGGATTGCACTGGCCCGTTGCATTCCGACCCAGTAGTCGCCGCCACTCTGCTGCTCGGGCAGATGTCTGACAGGGCATTTCCACAGCGAACTGGCGATGGGTGTATATCTTAGGTCCAAGCTGAATTTTGCTATCTGTATCGTATGTGTGTTTTGTCGCTTCGCAGTTGCTGGGGGAGAAACTAGACCAGCTCTCTACTGAGGGGGAGGTAGTTGTGGTTCTTCCTTACGTGGTGAAGTTGGGATATTGAAGCCCTGTACATTGTATTATTTAACATTTATACCCCTGGCTAGTGTGGCTCAGTGGATTGAGTGCCGAGCTGTGAACCAAAGGGTCGCTGGTTCGATTCTCAGTCAGGGCGCATGCCTGGGTTGTGGGCCAGGTCCCCAGTAGGGGGCGCACAAGAGACAACCACATGCTGTTTCTCTCCTCTTTCTCCTTCCCTTCCCCTTTCTCTAAAAATAAATGAAATCTTAAAAAAAAATAATAAAATGTATTTGTAAGGTTATAGTGCCATAAAATGGAAGCCAATTCATTTTTAAAACTTAGGTGAGAAGATGCTGGGCAGAGCAGCTCATGGAAAGCGAGCGCTCGGTTTGACAGTAGCGGTATTTACGGCAGAAGGAGAGAAACAAAACGAAAGCATTTGGGAGGTGGAGAAGCACTCCACGACTCTGGAAAGGAAGAACTGCATGACAAAGATGCCAGAATGTACTACTTCATGCAATTCTGTCAACATTCCAGTTGGTTTCTTTTTTTTGTATGGAGCCTAGCTAAACTGCTCATAAATCAGAAGGAACAAGAGAGAACTTAAAAAAAGGTTAATTAAGGGAGGTTAGGTCCCCCACATACAAAAACATGCCACGCAGGCCTGTAGTGCATTAACAAAAAACATTAGTGTCAAGAAATAAAGTGGCAGATTACCCACAAAGTATATCATTGTAAATATACTTACTACATGCTAAAGGAGGTAGCACAGCAAGTGGTAAAACACAGAGGATTCAGTGAGTGGGGTGGAAGAAATGACCTGCGGCCTTGGGGAAACAGTTTGGCTCTCGATTTTGGACTGTGTGTCAATTCCACGTGGCTTGAAAATTAGCTTTGTTTAAAAATATTGTATACAAATTAGGCAGCACATCAGTTTATGCATTTAGTAAGTGATAAACCATAAAGGAAGAGAGCCACAGGTAGAAGCCCATACATTGTAATTTTTAAAGATTTTATTTGTTTGTTTGTTTGTTTGTTTATTGTTTAGAGACAAGGGAAGGGAGAGGAGAGAAACCTCAATCGGTTGCACGTGTGCCCTGACCAGGCACTGAGCCTGCACCCCAGGCACGTGCCCGGACCGGGAATCGAACAGACATTCTGCTTTGCAAGATGATGCGTAACCAACTGAGCCATATTGGTCAGGGCCATACTTCACAGCCTTTACTTAAAGAGATAATGAACGTTTATGAGCTAAATATGAGGAAGTTTTGCCCGGGCCGGCGTGGCCCTGTTGGCTGGAGTGTCGCCCTGTAAACCGAAAGGTCACAGGTTTGGTCCCCATAAGGGCACATGCCTAGGTTACGGGTTCGGCCCCAGGTCGGGGCGCACACGAGAAGAAACCGATGGACGTTTCTCTCCCTCTTTCTCTTCCTCCCTTCCCCTCGCTCTAAAACCAATAAGCATGTTCTTTCGGTGAAAATAAAAAAAAAGAAAAAAGGAAAAAAGTTTCTTGACCACAAACCTAATTCTATGAAAGCTCATAAAAATTGAGCAAACCAGGAAGACATGGTAACCCATGAACGGATAAAATGAATGCACGATTCACAAATAGGGGCCTGTAGGTAGCAAAGAGACAGGAGAAAACAGCTTCACTAAAAATTGTGTCAGCCTCTCCTTTATAAATTCACCCAGATGGGTGGGGAAAATGGTCACGCACCAGCTGTATTGTCACGCTTCCCACGGTCAAGGCCTCCTGTGTGACAAGCAGGCGTCCCACTAGGGGAGGGCACACAGTCGACACGGGTAGCCCGGGCCATGGTTTGCGCCCAGTCCCTTAACCTGGTTCTCTGCTGGTTGAACTAATACAGTGAAATATTAAGGACAGTATCTGTGAAGTAATGAGTTACAAGTGAAAAATAATACCAGTAGTAGGACACTGATCCCATGCGATGTGGAATAAAATGACTCCACGATGAAAATAATTTTCCAATATAAAACTTGCTATTGCCGTACATCCGAGGTGCACGTATGTGCGAATTAGAGGCCATGAGAGTCCCTAAAAGAAAGAAAATGACCAGCATCCACTCAGGGGGCTTCTCAGATGTGTCTGACCATGGTGGCTCTTTTTCTTCTCTCTCTCTTTTTTTTAAATGTTTAAGTTTTTTCATCCCTGGTACCAATATTGCTCAGAAACCCCCACTACTTGAATGTGCACTGTTTATAGCTGTGTGAAAATAATTAAACTATCCACAGCTGTGTGAGCAAATATACATACATGTATATTTACATTGCCATATACGTGTGTATGTATATATGTGTGTATATATACATATATATAAAACACATTCTTCCAGTAATACAGTTCACAGTTGTGCATTTTACTGGAGGTAAACTGACCCTCAAACAATTTGAAGAGGGAAGGAAGGAATTACAGTCTAGAAATAGGAAGTAGTTGGTTGGACGGAAAACCATTGTGATGCCAGCAGTAGGCTAGGCTGATAGAGTAATAGGTGCATTTTCTTGTATTATTAAAGGTACACCTCTAAAAATAACAGTTCTTAAGGAGAAATTCATTGTGGATCATATACAGGTTGTTAGAAAACACAGGTACTTCATCAGATCAAGTTAGGGATTCAACTCCGAGCATCGGTCTCCAGAAATCGGAGAAGTTAGTGTTTCTGCTCTAAAGTGAAATATTCCCACTACTGGAAAGCAGGTGCCCCCGCAGCCTGGTGATAACCCTGCAGTTTACATGGACACGGATTGTTTTCCCAGACGGAAGGGAGTTCTCTCCCAGGAGCTGACCCCTGCATGTTACGCCGTGCCCTGCAGGACAGCTCCGTTTATTCTTCCTATACTGGGCTCTCAAACAAGCTTTTCTTTGAACAGAAGAAAGGGAGTCGCAATCGAAATGTTTGAAGGCCACTGGCCTGCAAACCGTATTCCCCTCTTTGCAGAATACATCGTGTAGCTGTGGGGGCTCTGGTGTGTGCCTTGCTCATCCTCCCGCACTTGAGCCTTCCTCAAGGGCCAGGAGCCCACGTGTGCTGGGTTGGGGGAGGGTGCCTGCCCCACCAGGTGCATCACCTGTGCTGGCCTCTGGAGACACGTGGTCTGTAAAGTCGGAGACCTTTTATTCTTCCTCATCAAATGGCCCGATGTAGTTCCCGTTGCTTGAATTTAATACTCCTGGAGGGCATTTCTATTCTAAGTGGCTTAGCCATCCTCCAAATTGCTCTTCAGTTCTCTTACTCAGCCTGAGAAGAAAGGTATCTGACGGGCTGGCTGTAGCACTCACCTTATGCCCTAAGATCCTAGCAGAGTCTTTAGTTTTAAATGCTCAGAGCTGGGGAAACTCATGATTTTGGGTAAAAGAAATCCCAGTCAGCTGTTATCTGTAGTTTCTCAAAGCGGACGGTTTACCCCATGGGAAAGTTACCGTGCGCAAGCACCAACCATCCCTGCCCTCGTCTCCAATGGCCGCTTGATTGTTCATGACCTTTCACATGACCAGTGACTGTGTTTAAGCATCTGTTCGTTTAACTGATTTTTTTATTATGCATCATCTTCATTGGAACGTCAGTTCTGTGAGAGCAAGGACCTGTTTCTTTTGTTCCTCGTCTTGTCACAGACACTAGATCAGTGTTAGTACGTACTGCGCGAGGTCTGTCCGGAAAAAGTCCGGCCATTGTTAATATAACGGGAACGGTTTGTGCGACATCGATGTGAGCTGGCAGCCACGGAGCGTGGGCTGGAATGCACACGTGTGAACGGTGACAACTTCCCTGTACTCGCCGGTGGGGGCAGTAGATGCCCTCGAGTGAGCGTGTGCACTGTGTGGCCGTCACGTCCAAAATGACTGAGCAAATGAAGCAATGCATCTGCATCAGATTTTGCATTAAGCTTAAACATTCATCTACAGAAACTATTCAGATGATTCAGAAGGCCGCAGCTATGGGCCACTGGTGACTGGCAGCTTCATCACAACAGTGTGCCAGCTCATGCAGCCCGTCTCATGCAGAGTTTCTTGGTGAAACATGGAATCACTCGGGTGACTCAGCCACCTCACAGCCCACATTTGGCACCCTGAAACTTCCGGCTCTTCCCAAAACTACAGTCGCCTTTGAAACAGAACAGATTTTAGACTGTCAGTGAGATTCAGGGAAATACAACGTGGCAGCTGATGATGGCGATGGGGAGAACTGTGCGAGGTCCCACGGTACCTACCTTGAAGGGGACTGAGGCGTCATTGTCCTATGTACAGTGTTTCTTGTACCTTGTATCTTCTTCAGTAAACGCCTCTGTTTTTCATAGTACGTGGCTGGATGCCTTCTGGACAGACCTCGTGTGTCCATGACTAAGAGATGTTAGGATGGGAGTGATTGGAAGCAACAGGTGTTCCTTAGTGAACAGTCAGGCTGGGTCTGGAGTCACAGAGGGCAGATCTGAGAGGTTTGTCGCAATCCCGAGTCTTTCCTAATTAACGTTACCACAGAGGGGAGCGGCAGGGGCCAGGCCCTGGGGGGAAGCATAGTAACTCTCTTCTGTGTGCATTTCAAGGTGGTGGACCTGCTGGTGTCCATGTGCAGGTCTGCGTTGGAATCGCCGAGAAAAGTTGTCATTTTCGAGCCGTATCCCTCTGTGGTCGACCCTAATGACCCTCAGATGCTGGCCTTCAACCCCAGGGTAAGGAGTTGCCTGGCAACCGCCTGCCTACCCCCCGTCACCGCTTCCTCCAACCACAGCTGAGAATTCAGTCCTGGCGGCTCTGGCTTTCTGTCGGCATCGCTGTCCCCCCCACCAGCCCACCCACCACTGTCTGGACCCTGCACCCATTTTGGGAACAGGATTCTTGTTGTACAAACTGCATTTGCTTCCACCTTCTGCCCTGCCCATCCCCTGCGCCTTCCCCCGAACTTCCGTGCTGCAGAACCGTTTCCAGAAGGCCAGGAGACGAGACCTGTCCAATCCTCTCTCACTGTGGTCTCGCACGCCCTGCCCGCGTGGAAGGCGGGTGAGTGAATAGCTGCAGCAATTGGTCGACAGGGAGAGTGGTCACTATGGTTATTGCAACTTCATACCTATTTTTCTGAGCTTCCAGCTTATGCAACTACTTACAAGAATCATATCTAAAAAGGACACATTTCCCTTTGTCTGTTGTATTTTCTCTCACTGTCCCTTGTCCCCCCCCCAACCCCTCCAGTTATCTGAAAGTTAGTGATTGTTCAATTCATATTGTCCATCAGCTGGCATTTCTTGAGAACACAGTTTCACAAATATTAACGGCTACTGGGCAGAATCCCTCTGAAATAACAATTTCAAATGGCAGGACAGCTAGAATTGCCTTCATTTCTATTGATGTTCCTCTTGTAAGCATTTTCTGGAAACAGTGACCGTGGAAGATTCCCTTGGGAAAGCTTCCTGCCTCCCTGGCACGGTGCTCGCGGGACCCGTTTGCATTACACTTAAGAGTGGACGGTCCGCCGTGCGCGTGGCGTTACGTACGCACCTGCCAGTCATCCTCCCGGGCTTACAGCGTTCCGGTTAAATGGAAATAAAAGCGAAATGAAATCGTAAGACCTAATGGTGGATTTCTGGACTTCAGCAGGATTTCATGCTTGCCTTATTCTTCGTGCCATACGTGTTAAGTTTAAAAGGGCAGCGTCAGGAACCCGGCCCCCTTTTTGGGTGTGTGTTGGCTCCCCTCTAAAAAGGCTGGGTGTGATTTCCTGTGCTTCGTGGGGCCCGGCTCTGTTTTCTTTTGTTCCCCGCTCCGGCTCCCTTATACACCCCGTGTCCGTGAACCGCTGTATGGAAGTCTGCCCCCCGGGGGCCTGCCGCGGGCACGGCTTTCCAGCGGACTCTGATGGAAGGTTCCTGTGCAGAAATAATACGTTTCTTCAGTAATGCACAGATTTGCAAAAATGCTATGTATCTATTTTATTTTATTTTCTTTCATTCAAACAGAAGAAGAATTACGACCGCGTGATGAAAGCACTGGACAGCATAACTTCTATCAGAGAAATGACACAAGTAAGTGCGCCGTCTGTGGTCGGGACATTTCCGTTTTGCTTGAGTACGATCATATTCGGAAAAAATGCCTGAGCATGCTGGCCGTGGAGCGAAACGCAGGCTTTTCTGCTATAGGGGGGTATGATTAAAATCACCAAAACGTTGACGTGGGGCTGTACTAAGATGTTTGATTGCCTTGCATCAGCGTATTGGCCCGCTACCGCTGTGACTCTGGGGGGGATGGTAATAGCGTAATCACAGTCGTCATGGTCTGCTCCCAAGTTCAAGGGAGAGGTGGAGTACATGGAGGTGTGTCAGGCTCTCTTAAGGCAAAGGTTAAGTCTGGCACTGTCCTCCTGAACTGTGCATTTTAACTAGTGGTAATCATTTTAAAGTACCATCTTAGTGTTAAAGCAAATATTCTGTCAAGCTTAAGCTGTACATAAATATTTTAGCGACAATACAGAATCTCAAAAACGTGGGAAGACCAGCAGACTTCCTAAGAGGATGAGTGCGTGTTTCTGGCCTTTAGGGGAGAGGCTTTGACGGAAGGGTTGGATGAGCGCGGGTCGGGGTTCATCACGAACATCTGACCTGCCTGCCACTCTGCCACAGATGGTCCGGCACTTGGCAAACCACATGCTCTTGAGTTATCGGGCCCTTTCCGCTGCCAAAGATTTGGAGAGAGGTTTAAAATTCATCATTTTCTTTTATTTCATTTCATTGGTTTATTTTCTTTTTAGAGCGAGAAGAAAGGAGAGAGAAAGATCGATGTGTTGTTCCGCTTAATTGATGCAGTCACTGGGTGATGCTTGTATGTGCCCTCGCCAGGGGTCGAACCTGCAACCTTGGCCGAATCGGACAATGCTCTAACCAACTGAGCTACCCAGCCAGGGCCTAAAGCTCATCATTTTATGTAGAAGTGAATCGTTTCCAATTCACAGCAGCATGCAGTCTAGAAGGTGGCGTCAAATCTTGCTCTGCCCAGAGACCTTTGCTGGCTGATGAGCAGTGCTGTTACCCTGGGTCGCCTCCTCTCTCTGGGGAGGGAATCAAAGATTCTGTTCCTTTTCCGGGGAGGAAACGGAGCATTCGCTCCCCTGCCCCCACCCATCTCCCCTCCCGTGGTCTGTCATCTGCCTGAAAATGTGTTTCAAACATGCAGTTTTGCATTCCCAACTTTGATTCTTGCTTCTTTTGATACTTAGCTATTCGCGTAGTCAAATATTCATTCATTCTCAAATAGTCTGCGTCGACACTGGTAACCAAGAGCCTTTAACTCACAAGTTACTCCATTTGCTTATCTGACAGCCCTTCCCGGTGGTTTTCCATGCCTGCGCCTTTTTGTATTGTGAATCTTTTCAAACAAATACGTATTATATTTGTACAAGGAAAAGAAAACAATAAACCACATTCCCACTGAGGGGGAAGAGAGAACCTATGCAGTGTTTGACACAAAGCGAAGTAAACATTTTTAGTCCCCAGAGCCTGTGGTGTGGGATATTTATACCCTGCCCTACCCCCGGGCCGTTCTTGGATTAAAAATAGCTTCACCCCTGGCTCCCGGCTGCACTGTGGGAAATGCCTGCCTTTGTTCTGGGTCACGGGCGAGCTCCTCCGGCGGAGGAGGTGGGGACGACAGTGTCAGCCGAGGAGGAGGTTAAGGCTCCCAGTGTGGACCTTGCTTGTCCGTGGCCGTCCTGTGCCCTTGGGCAAGTCCCTGCATCCCTGATGCCTCCGCTTTCTTCGCCGCCGAGGTGGTGACCAGTCACTGCACCCTCTCCGCGTGCACGTCATCGGGGTGCTCTCCGGTGTCCCTGCATCCAGTTCTCTAAACCTCTCCAAATAAATACCACGCTATACTGTCCTGGTTTCTAGAATGTTCTGCCCTATAGATAGACCTGAACTGTCACAGACAGACCGCCCTTTGTTCTATGAAAAGGTAAATAAATGCCAGTAAATAGTTTTAAGAGAAGGGCCCTTGTGTAAATTTCGTCCAGTTTTTTTTTTCCAAGTAAAGAGCGGCACTGCAGGCCATACCTCACGTACGAGCGTGCGTAAGGGGCAGTGGCAGGTTTTTCTTTAGTGTTGGTTAAAGGTTAAGGACAGTCTTTCATTGTCAAAGAGATACAGTGCGGAACACTTACTGAGAGCGGCAACACAGGGTTTACTGGGAGGACCGCCGGTGAGATGAACGCACCCCCAGCTGAGACACAGTGACGGACGTTTTTAAGGAGGACAGGGGACAAAAGGCGCTGTGGCGGAGTGGAAATGGGGCTGCGGGGCTGTGGAAAACCCCTCAAGTGCTAAATGGAGATTTCTGGAAAGTTAGGTGCGGTGGGTCGGTACAACACACCTGTCACGGTTGGCAGCACTGGGCTTCCCTGAGTGGGGACGCAGCAGGGGGCCTGCGGGACACGCCCAGTGGGTGGAAGCCAGACCCAAGTCTCTTGGCACAAGGTTGGTCCGTCCTTTGTGCCCCGGGAAAGTTCCCAGCTCTCACCCTCCGGGGAGGGGAGCCACGAGGCGATGGTTGCTGGTACCTGGTCAGGGCCACAGTGTCTCCAGTTTCACTAGATGTAGGCACACCTGCCTGTTCAGTCTGCTTTTCCTTTTGCAACAAGACCAAAAAAAAAAGGGGAGATGTTCCCTGGCTAGCATAGCTCAGTGGATTGAGCTTGGGCTGCGAACCAAAGCATCGCAGGTTCGATTCCCAGTCAGGCCACATGCCTGGGTTGCAGGCCACGGCCCCCAGCAACCGCACATTGATGTTTCTTTCTCTCTCTCTCTCTCTCTCTCTCTCTCTCCCTCCCTCTCTAAAAATAAATAAATAAAATTTTTTAAAAAGGGAGATGTTTAAGAAAAGTCAAGAAGTGTCATGACTTTCTTTCAGGCGCCATACCTGGAAATCAAGAAGCAGATGGATAAACAGGACCCCCTTGCTCATCCCCTGCTGCAGTGGTATGCAACTTTAGCTTTCCTCTCAGTGAAAACAGCATCGTCTTCTGCTGCCTGCTCTAAGAAAGTGGGGCGGGGGGTGGCGGATGCGAGCCTCTTTTGCAGACCCTGCAGTGCTACAACTCCACAGCCCTTGGGGCCTGGTGACTGTGCAGTCCACGCGGCTGTGACTCCCACAGTGATTAGACCTCGCAGGTCACACAGGGAGGATGATGCTGCCGTGTGCGCTGTGTGGAGAGGCCAGGGGTTGGGGGAGGGGGGCTTGGCAGCCGCTTGTCTCCAGTTTTAAAAAATGTCATCAACTGGGTTTACCATGAGAAGCAGTTTCTGGTGTATTTCATTTTCTAGCTAACTGAGGACTGAGTGATAGAACTCACTTATGATTGAACATCTGTCTGAAATGTATGTTTTGGATAATTTGCTCCCTTATACCAGGGACAACATAAACTTGATAAACCCCTTGTCGGATGCTGCAGGCGAGGGACACAGACCCGTCCCCCGTGGGTCCCTGAGGGAGGCCCCGCTAAGACTGGGGCCGGCGGGTCGTAGACTCACCTTGCATAACGCCGTTCAGGTGATGGGCCCTCTGGTGTCCCATGTCTGGGATGGAAGCAGCAGTATCTACTTGTCATCCCTCTTGGGGTTTTATGTACATGTCTCTGAGATCACTGAAATCTCTGACTATGGAAATCATCACAGTTCTCATGCAGTAGTACAAATGTAAAGATTGTAAAGATTGTAAGAGGTTGGTGTGAGTAGTGTTTATTCTAAGTTAGGGCCTGGATGTTTTTAAAAATCAGGTGAAGTTGGGCAAAGGAGAAAGACTCTGGATCCTTCATGATTCTAGTAACTTCCACTTAGTCAACATTTTATATACACATTTAATTTAGTCTGATACGACCGACAAAAATGAGGTGTAGAAATGTTCCTTCTTGGAATGTTTTAAGGTCTGTTACTAAAATTCTGAGTTCAGTAAAAGAGCACACGGTTTTCACTGTACTTGTGAAAATTCTCGTGCTCGGTCACGTTCCGAATGAAGGCCGGCTCTCGGGTCACACGTCCTTGACCCTGAAGTCGGCCTCCTGATGGGAAGCCTTGTACTCGGGACCCTTTCTTCTTCCTGCAGCTTGTCCGTCCGTCCGCTTGCAAGGGGAAAAAACAACTAACTACCAAAACGTTTTATCATTTCCCTGCTTGTTATTTTGTGTACATGAAACAGTTCTTTCCGATATCTGAATTTAATTTTTGCAGCTTCAGTGTCTAGTATGTTGAATAACAGTTTGTGTATAAATCATTGTATGAATCAGCCCAAAGAGATTCTCAGATAGTTAAAGGAAAACATCTTCATTAAAAACTCATTTTTAATTAGGTAATGTAGGGAGGGACGAAGAAGCAGTTGTATGTGTCAACTTCTAATCTTTCTAATATTTAGATGATTACTATTTGAAAGTATACTCAGAGATGCTTATTTTGCCGACTTTTGAGATTGTGATGATTAAAAACTATATCTTAAGTTTTAAAGAAGATAAGATTAAAATATCCGTTCTCAGATTAAAGTATGATTTTTGTTACCTAAGCCCTTTAAATTGTTTCAGGAAGCAAAGCAAATTAATGTAATTAAATAAAATTATTACACTTACCAACTAAGGAATAAAACTTTACCTTTGGCAAATGTTTTTGACGGATGGATTGTTTTCATCAATTTCAGGGTTATTTCGAGTAACAGGTCACATATCGTGAAACTGCCAGTGAACAGGGTAAGTGGTTTTTTCACGTGTACACAGGGCGGTCGGCGGGGGGCACTTGTCAGTTGTGAGAATGGACCCCTGTGACCCTGTGGCAGCCTTTCCCGCACATTAAAGGGGACTCCAGTTAAGGCCCGTTCTTCAGTGTGAAATTGCCGTATCTGCAACATCTTCAAGCTTTTCCAAGATTTCAAATTCAGGCTGTTGCCCCGAACTTTTAAATAAACCAGAGTCGATATGAGATAGTTATTCCAAAGCGGGTAGAAAGAATATCATCTAGGAATTGGCCAGAAAAGAGTAATGTGCCTTTCATCATTGTCAGGTTCGTGCTGGCCCAGTTCTGCTTTTCTGTATTGGGGGAGACAATGCCTCCAGATAGCTTACTGATCGGCCCAATAGGCCTGCAAAACAACGAGAAAGCTAGTGGGCTCTGATTTCAGTTCTCGTCTTCACCTGAGAGCTGCATCTGAACTCTCAGGTCCCCCGTCTCGGAGTCCCTCACCTGTGAGAGTCCTTCATGGTGTTCCTATCTCAGTGTGTTCCTAGGTGGGAAGGCAAAACTTACAAACCTTGGTCAGACAACTTCTTCAAAAGGTTCTGTTTCAGTTTCTTTCCTGGAACAAAGTGGGAAACAGTATTTGAATGTAGGCAATTGCCAGTTTTATAAATACTGGGTTGGCCAAAAAGTCCATGTGGGTTTTTTTTTTTTCTGTGAACTAAAGACACGTTTTTCATTTTTACCATTAACTTCATTGATTTGGATATTTTGAGTATGTCGGCCATCTCCCGCATGGTACAGAACACTGACTGTTCTCGGTTAGTGCTGTTATGTGATTGCCATCGGCGTCACCTGGCCTGCGCGACCATGGAGCCTCACCACCTAGTGGGAAATCTCCAGCAGGAAACTTCGCGAACCACTTCTGACGTGCTGAATCCGTCACAGTACCTTTTCTATACGCTGCACACATCTTTTTTTGCATTTCAGTGACATTTTTACCTTTCTTGAAGAAAAAAAGCACAATATGCCAAACATGCCGTGTATTTTCTTCCATCTTCAATTGTAAAATGGCTGCCCAGAATTCACCAATTGTGATAATTTTTTTTAAGCACGCACCGATATGACAGCTGACACAATACAGCCTAACAAAATTGTTTTCAATGAAGTTAGAGACAACTAAGTGCCACTAGAGCCACCTTATGGGGAAACCCAAATGAACTTTGGCCAACCCAGTATATGGAAATACAGCATGATGATGATGATAATTTTTGCAATTTAAACCTCTTGAACTATCTTTTTTGCTTAGCAAACTCTCAGACTATTTATTTAGTTGAATAGCGAGCATCTTCATATGAAATTCAACAATAAAACTCTTCAGAAGAAATGTGATTAGGAAGGCAGATCTTGAACGTCTTACAGTTTATTCCAAAACTAAACGTAAATGACTGTGGATCGTCAGTCTCCTATTTATTTTCTGTTAGCCGGAAGAATTACCCTTCATACCAGCAACCATGATTTATCACTTACACAAGGCTGGGTTTTTGTTGTTTTTAAATGAATGGTGTCGTTAATGTGATTAGCCTAAAGTTACCATGGTTTGAAGCGAGGCAGTTCCTAAACTAGTAAAACTTGAACTTGTCAGCAGCCTGACTCTATGTTCCCTCGAACACGGTCCCATTTGCCACTGTTTTCCATGGCAGCAACTGAAGTTCATGCACACGCCGCATCAGTTCCTGCTCCTCAGCAGCCCGCCCGCCAAAGAATCCAATTTCAGAGCTGCTAAGAAACTCTTCGGGAGCACCTTCGCCTTCCAGTGAGTGTGGCTCTGGGTGGGCGGGGGCGCCTTCAGACCTGCGTGGGGAGCACAACCTTCCCTGTTAGTGACGGGCTGCGACCAGCTGACACTGAACAGTCAGCCACGTAATGCTTGACCTGGACACTCAGAGCTTCCAGAAGGCGCCATGACCTATGACGTTTTTTATTGCGATGCGTCGTTGCTGTTTCAAAGATCGCTGATCTCTGGCTCCGCTTTTTCCCCCACCCCGTTCCGGCTCCAGCGGCTCGCACATCGAGAACTGGCACTCCATCCTGAGGAACGGCCTGGTGGTTGCTTCCAACACAAGGTTGCAGGTAAACTTTCTGAACGCTTTCCCGGGCCCTCCTTACTCTTCAGTCCTGGAGCTCTGGACGCCCTCCTGGTGGTGTGTGTGTTTTTAAATCACATGCAGTTATTAGTAGGATAAGTAGCTTTCACTAAGTCACTGGAGCAGAATCGGCCTATCCACCGTCCAGGGATGAAAAGGAAAGGCGGACCTGCCTTATGCCCAAACAGGGACATCCCTGCGATCTTCAGAAAAAAGGCTCCTGCAGAAAGTAAAACCTGCAAGCGTTCTATCTGTCCATTGAACACACCTTCTGGAGCACCGCGTCAGGGTGGCGACTCTAGCAGGACAGGAAGCGGGGCTAGTGGGAACGTTGACACCCAAGGGCCTTCTGGTGGCTGCTGTCCAGCCTCCAGGGCAGCACCTGGAGTCCCAGTGCATCGCGGTCCAGTGCTCGTCCTCATGCATGCCCTTCACGCCCACCGTCCCCACCCCCCACTGTCATGCGGCCCTGTTCCGTCCGATGATGTAAGGACGTCCCTGGGATGGGTCTCACTCACTGGTGACGACTCGAGTGACTGTCCGTGTTCGTAACTCCAGTTCATTCGGAAGAAGGGACCAGGTCCCTAGAGCACAGACTAAGAGAACTCCAGTTGTTCTGAGTGTCTTCTCAGACCGGGGGAGAGTTCCAGTTACTGAAACTCGGTGACTTGAAAAATTTAGAGGTTGAGAGTGGAATGACCGTGTTGGATAATGCAAATCTGAGTAGGACAGTTAACTGATTTGCTAGTGGGTGACATTTGTTTCAGCCTGTTTTGTTGTTGGAATGGTAGACTCATTAACGCAAAGCCCACTACGGTACTTTACGATGAGTGACTCTCGCTGTCATTGCTGGGGGAAGGGAATTTTGTCTCTGTCATGTTCCATATATCAACTTACTCTGCATGTGAAGGGCAAGGATGTCAGCGCTGCTGTTTTCACATCAGACCTTGCGATAAAATCTTTATCACTTTCTAACAGTCACCGCTTCCCTATGAGATTGATTGCCTTCTGCTGTAAAGTATTAACATTCGAAACCTTTGACTGAGGCCTCTTCCCGTTGTAGCTCCACGGCGCCATGTACGGAAGCGGAATCTACCTTAGTCCGATGTCAAGCATATCATTTGGCTACTCAGGTGAGCGTGTGCTTCGTTTCTAACCCGCGTTTATTGGGTTTTTTATCTCTTTGTCAGGCGTAATGGCCTGCCAAGTGACTAAAGCTTATTTGACACATTGGTGTTAACTTTTCTGATACATGTCAGAACAACATAAAACTCACATTTCAAAATGTATTTCTGATAATTCCCCTAGTGTCCAAGACGGTATATTATGTTTGGTCCATTTCAAAATCAGTCTTCATTTCGTTTCAATCATTTCTGTGTGTGTGCTGGAAAGTATTCATGCATATTACTTCACTGTCACTGAGTGTAATTCTATATCATGCCAGTTCTTATCTTTGGATTATTATGTATCCCACATAGAAGTTTTAAACATTATGGAAATTTTAGGCTCAGCAAAACACCCTTAACATCGTCCTACTTATTGGCAACTTCTTGTTAATATTTTGATGAAGTTGCGTGAAAAAAAACACCATTGTAGCATCAATGGCAAGCGTGCGCTGAGGAGCATGGGAAATTCAGACCGTGGGCGGGACGATCGCCGAGTTGTTAGTGGTTGCCACCCTCAGAGAGCGCAGGTGCAGGTGATTTCTTCTCTGTATTTTTAAATTCTTTGGACTCTTTTACAACGATCAGTGTGACCTTTCAGTATAGCAATTTGTTCTGTTGACGTAGAAAGTACTTAGTAACAGATGAAATTCCTCCACCTTTTCTACAACTCGGTGTTCAGTGGGTTTCCCGTCGCACCTGTAAGTGCTCCTGTGCTCGGGTGCTTGCACATGTAGTTGGCTTGGCGTGTGTGCTCGTGCACGTGTGTGCATCTAATCACACGAAACCCTCGGGAGCGGCGTTCACGTGAAAGGACACTTCGAGGTCTCATGACCACGGGATCGTTGGCCGGGCCTACCTGCCCAATTCCCACCTGTCTGCTTCGTGCTCTTCCGGTCACAGCACTTGCCTCTCAGTGGCTCTCCCGTCCCCTCTGCAGAGCACATGCCCTGAGAGCCCTCGGCACACCCCGCGTGCCTGTGCTGACCCGCCGCCGCCTGCCCACACCCTCGGTCATACCGGTCACAAGCCCTTCTGTACTCAAGGTCGGGGGTCAGACCCCATCTCCTGGCCGCAGGGGGGCCAGGTCGCAGCGTAGAAGTGACAAGAATTGAGAAATACCGCTGCCGCGATCTTCGACCGCGTACACTGTGCCAGAATAACACTGGGGAAGTGAATAGCATTAGAAAGAAGGAGGCAGCATAGGAAATGGAATGTCCTGGTTCAGTGGAGAAAACAATTAAAATCAGCATAAATCAGACTCTAAATCTTATTAAAAGAGAACACAGGAAAAAAACTCCTGTTAAACCACTTTGAATAAAAACATCCTCAGTGCAGAAAAGGAGAACTCAACAAATCATCGAGTACTTTGATTTCTGCTCCTGAGGCTGGTGTGTGGGGTCCTCAGATGGGTCCACGGGAAGGTTTGGGGGGGCACACAGATGGGAATAAAATCTGTGAAAAGGCGCATCTGCCCGGACGGAGGCCCCCAGCCGCCATCCAGTTGCTGGAGTGTCTTTGATTGGAAAACCACGCAAGAGCCCCCGCAGGGAGATGCAGCCCGTCACTGGTTTCGGATAGGCTCTGTCTGTTCTGCCCAAGACGCCCGCTGAAACAGCAACAAAACACGTGAACACGCCCCTCCACTTCAGAGCAGTAGAGGAACATTTTCACGTAAACTAGCACTACACGTCTACCAGCCCTAAAACACATGGAAATTTTAGTTCTGTTTTGTCTGAGATCTTTCACAGTAAAAAATCATGGCATTAGTAGAGTAGGCTAAGACTGAGAGTGTCACAGGCAAAAGGATGCATGCACTTTTTCTTTATTAGGAGAAGCAGTGAATTCCATATGGAATTGAGCATATGTCAACGACTCGTGCAGTTAAGTTACAGCATAAGCTTTTTTATATTGTTCGTGTTTCCCATCCCTTATCTTCTAATTGGATGATAAGAATAAAAGAATATGTCGGAGAGCCTTCTACAACCAGATTTGGAGAATTTTCGTATTGTGTTTTATGGGAGAGAGTATCCTATTCCCGTTTCATTGCAAAGAAGCACCGGGGGATCGTCTGCTTCCGGCCGCCCCCGGGACTCCTGAGCCCGCTGACGCTCTACCCCAGGTGCCGAGGACACAGCCGCCGCCCCTCTGAGAGGCCGCGGTCTCCATCAGGGCCCGATGCAATCAGCCCTCCGCCGAAGGTGGAGCTCGGCAGTGCAGAGGGGTGGTATTTGAGCCGCCTCGTGCAGTCCTGGTCCTAAGTCCTTGTCCTGCTGATGTTTGCAGGGATGAACAAGAAGCAGAAGGTGTCGGCCAAGGACGAACCGGCCTCCAGCAGTAAAAGCAGCAGCGCATCCCAGGTGGGTGTGAGGCGGGAGCTCGGGCTCCGCCCACCAGCAGGGCTCCAATAGACACCTGGGCCCTGTAAGTCTGAAGAATTATTTTAAGTGGGCCTTACTCATAAGGACATAAAACGCACCCTGAAATGGAATAACCAAAATGCCTTTATTCAGTAAATATTTAGCAAGTATTTCATTGGCCTCTCACCATAATGACGGAGACTCCCCAACACATTAGGTGACAGCGATAAGTGAAGATTAGTCCTCTTGGAGCCTTCATTCTACTGAGGGAATAAATGCACTAAATACGTATTTAGTATCAATAAATATTTCTCTTTTTTAAAAGAATTTATTTATTTTTAAAGAGGGAAGGGAGGGGGAAGAGAGAAAGAGGGAGAGAGAGAGAGAGAGACATCAATGTGCGGTTGCTGGGGGCCGTGGCCTGCAACCCAGGCATGTACCCTGACTGGGAATCGAACCTGTGATAGCTTGGTTCGCAGCCCACGCTCAATCCACTGAGCTACGCTAGCCAGGTAGATATTTCTGTAGGTAGGTGGAATGCTAGATGGTGACGAACATTATGCAGGAGAGTCAGGGAAAGGGGATGGTGGCTGCTCTGGGACAGAGGACAGGGCCAGCGGGGTGCCGAGGGGGCGGCCAAGGAAGGGCACCTGAGAACCCTCTGTCGGAACAGAGATCCGTAGGTGGTGAGGGCACCTGCCGTGTGGTTCTCCGGTAGGCGGGGCGTTGCAGGCGGAGAGCAGCGCAAGCACCAATCCCTTGTTTCAAAGAAGACTGGCATTCTGGACAAATTAAAATCCATCTGATGAAAAACGTGACTTTAAATTAAAAAAAAAGAGTGTAGTGAATGTACCATACTTTTAGGACTCTAAGACACACCGGACCATAAGACGCGCCTAGGTTTTAGAGGAGGAAAATAGGGAAAAAATTTTTTTGAAGCAAAAAATGTGGTAAAATATTTAATGACATAAATAACATAATATTTCACCAACGTAAATGTAAACGACATTTACTAGCCAGGTAAGCTACATTCGGACTGTAAGATGCACCCCCATTTCCTTCCCAAATTTTGGGGTGGGGGGAGAAGTGCATCTTATCATCTGAAAAATACGGTAATATCTCAACAAAACCCCAGAGTTTCCACTTGAGGCTTATCTGAACCTCTGTGGCTTAATGATGCTTAAAAAATGGGTTGGTTTTGCACGGTGAGGTGATCTGGAATAATTGAGTTTAATGTTTGAAAAGATTATGCTACTTTAATTTCGTTTCCTGTGTAGTAAAGATTCCAGGCTTCCAGTAAAAATAAATTTGAGTTCTCATTATGTGTTGTGAGGCCATAGCACTGTGATTTAGCGTTTTTAGTTCACTTACTTCGAGAGTGACTTAATAATGATTATGTACAGAATTAAATGATACAGCAAATACAGTTTGCCCCTAGGAGACAGTTCAAGGATCTTGCTGCTAGTGTCTGTAGGCCTTTTATTTACCAAAAAAAAATTGGAGCTATCTTAGTGACAGTTGTTCTTTATTGGTGATCCATGTAGTGAATGCCCATTTTCACTCTAATTTTTTTTTTCCTTTGGGAATTTAGTCACAGAAAAAAGGACAGCAATCCCAATTCCTGCAAAGCCGTAACTTGAAATGCATAGCCTTATGTGAAGGTAAGATGTCATTTTTGCAAACCTTGTGTCGTTAACTCTCAGTCTGACCTGTGTTTGAGAGTTTGCATGTATTTGCAGAATGCTCATGGTAGCCTAGTGAAGGCATCATTCCTTACGACCACCTCTAAGGGCGCAAATGGCCATCGGGGACGTAAAGAGAGGTCGTAAAGGGCGAAACCGAAGAGCAGAGGTGGCCAGAGCGCAGACAGAGCTACACTGCGTTCTTGGCAGATGTTTCAGCGTGGCGAGGGGGTCTTTCTGGTCGAGCACCGCTTACCTCCCTTGCTGATATGCCACCTCCCCCTTCTAGTTGGTTTCTGAGTGGGGAATATGATGAAAATGTTTAAAGATGACCAGGCCCTGCCAAGATAACCGCTGAGCCTTTCTGTTCCTGTACTGAAATGATTTTTCTGTTCTGAATTGGGACAGAAAAATTAATATAGGTAATTTGCAAGATCATATATTTTTCTTTGTTCTTGCTTTAAAATCTGTTTTGGGCAAAAAAAAAAAAAATTTGAACCCTGGCTGAACTTTTCATTCTCGTGTTGGGAGTTTTGGTAGTCACTGTTAACTGTCTTGGATGTTTTTGCCATAGTGTTGAGTGGCATCTCATCGTTTTTACTTACGTTTCTTTTTTGTTGTTGTTGTAGTTTTTTTTTTTAATTTTATTTATTTAGTTTTAGAGAGGGAAGGGAGGGAGAAAGAGAGAGAGAGAAACATCAATGTGTGGTTGCTGGGGGCCATGGCCTGCAACCCAGGCGTGTACCCTGACTGGGAATCGAACCTGCGATGCTTTGGTTTGCAGCCCACGCTCAATCCACTGAGCTACACCAGCCAGGGCTACTTACGTTTCTTGATAGCTAATGAGGGTAAACATCTTTTCGTATGTTAATTTTGCACGTACTTTCACTTCTCGGTTTCTGAGAATAAAGTCCTTGCGTTCTGTCTTGGGCTTCCAGTGATCACCTCCCCGGACCTGCACAAACACGGAGAGATCTGGGTCGTCCCCAACACCGACCACGTCTGCACCCGGTTCTTCTTCGTGTAAGTGCCCAGGCGCCCGCCTGCGTGCCCCCGGCTTCCCCAGGAGTGGGGCCGTGGGGACCACATGTTTACTGGGTGGTCGCTCTGGCCTCCAGTGTCTAACAGACGTCATGTCTCGTCAACTTCATGTTTTCATTTCATTTTAATAAGCTGTAAAAACCAGTGATGCTTAAATGTGAATGTAGCACTAAAGACAAATATTGTCTCTTTAACCATCTGTCTGTACATGTGTGTATGTAGACATGTATATATGTGTGTGTATATGTATACCCGTAGGTACACATATATACTCAGCTATTATATTTACAGATATTAGAACACGGAATGAAAACAGTCACAAGAAGGTTTTGTCCCTATAAAAAGCCGATTTACATTCCAGATGTTAATGAGTTGGCAACACAGGACTTGCTATAGATTGTTTTTGGTCACAGCTGTATCGTAAGTGTATTCAAATATAAAAGCACTATTTTTCATCCCTAAGTAAGTAACGAGGGTGGCAGACTGGTCTGACTTTCACCCGCCCCCACTTGACCCCCAACCCTTTTCTCTCCCCTATTTCTTCCTCATCCACCGTCCTCCCCCAGAAGGGGCCGCAGGAGGGGCGTTGAGCATCTCTTTTGCACGTCATTGTGGGTCTCTAAAAAGAAGCTGGAGAAATGGCACCCGCTTGTTTTTCATCCACCGTGCCAAAATGACTCCGTCGAGATGGCTCCGATGTCTCGTGTAGCCAGAGCTCCGGGTATCTGTAGCGTTTCCTCTGTTAGCTTGCTGACGGTCTGTTCCCCGTGGGAATGCTATCAGCCGCCTGGCTCTCTTCTGGGTGGTATGAAAACTGTGAATTTCTTACGATGCAGTTTCATATATTATGTATCTGTGCATCCAGTGTGCACAGAATACATATTGATACATGGTGAGGCGGGAGAGAAAGTAATGAAAAGAGCCCGGCTTTTGATCAGACGGCGTGTGTCCGGGCTCACCAGTTTTTCGTAAGGACCCACGAGCCAAGTTGCATAACTCTTCAAGCTCCATCAGTAGACACAGTGAGGCACCAGCAGCAGACACAGTAGAACAGGCCATTATCAGCCAGGCTGCCCTTGTGGGGCTGGAACCAGGGTCAGACCCTGGAGACCAGGGGCCAAGGGGGCGCATGGACAGAGTCCAAAGTCCCCTGCTTAGCTTGACACTGATCTCTGAATTTGTTCCTTTTAGCATCTCCGTAACACTCAAATTTGTTGAGCTAAAAAAAAAAAGCTTTCAGGTATTTAACTAGGCAATAAGCATTCAAGTGTTAATTCATTGAAATTTCACTTAAATTATATGTAAAATAATTCCGTAGGGACCCATGTGTGGGATGCATATATATATGTGTGTGTGTTTAGTCGAGAGAAAGATTATTTCATGAGAAGAAAAACTTAAGGAAAAAGCATCTGAAGAAAAGAGAAGAAAATACTTCCAATGTACTCCAATACTTTCTAAATAATACAAAGGAAAGAATTCTCTTAAGATAATGATTTTCACTTTTTCATAAATACAAAGGAGATTTCATCCTTTTTTTCTGCACCCTTTGGAGAGAAGGGCCTAATTAACTAAAATTGATAAGATTCAAAACACGTCAAAAGGGGACTCTATCCACTAATTAATGTACATTCTAATTACAGCCATCCATTTTTATCTTTATATAATGATATCGCAGAATTCCAGTGAAGTGCCCCCCGGTGAGTGGGAACATCTTTGTGGAAAATAAATTGATGAGAAAGAAGCAACTTACCACAAACTTCCCATTTCAGAGAGAAAGTCTATTTCTGTTCCTACTTTTACTCCTTTTTTATTTTTTTAACAATATATGATCTCTTATGTTAGATGCTTGCCCTGATGACTAGTATATAAATTAATCTGCCTTTTTCTCTGTTAGTAAGTAAAAATATTAAAAATTAAAATAACTTCCATGCTAATCAGATTTGTAGTGTAAAGAAGATAATAAAATGGTCATTGGATAGGCTAATCTTATTCTTTCCAGCAAATAAATAATAACACAGAAGGAGAGAAAAATTGGGGGGGGCGGAATTTAGGGAACAGACTACTGTATCAGAGAAAAATGAAAGTAAAATTTAAAGGAAGATTTCCCTTAGGGGGAAAAGTGGAAATTGAGAAGGTTTTAAAACATCCTGTTGGAAGATTCCAAAATGAATAAACTTAATCAAATGCAAATGCTTCAGGCAAAAAAAAATGTACTAATTCAGATGTTATGAACAGATTCCAGCCAATTTCGAGAGTTTTCAGCAATTCTAGGAGTTGCTGCTAAAGCTTCGTTTCAGGACTGACCTGAGGCCCGTGTGTGCAAGGACAGGAAGGTCAACATACAAAACCAAGGCGGCTTTTTAAAAGGGGCCAAGAGCAGAACTTACACAGAGGGTATGGAAACCCAATCGGCGTGCCGTGCTCTGCTCACATACGACAAAAATACGTATTTCACAGTGAGTGGAACTTGGAGGGCTAGAGAAGAAAACCTACTATTGTTTTTTTTTCGTGAGTGAGCCTCAATAACAAAATTCAAGGGAAGGTGACTGATGCTTTGGCAGGTAAACAGAAAGAATGTGTGTCTGGTGCCACCAGTCCCCACCACTGCCACAGCACAACCCCCTCATCCCCGCGGGTCCAAGGAGAGGCTCCGAGACACCGGATCTGGGGGTCTTGCTTATTTGGTGTTGCAGCCCATGTGTTTTTTTTTGTTTTTTTAAGAGAGAAGCTTTTTTTTTTTTAAGATTTTATTTATTTTTAGAGAGGGAAGGGAGGGCGAAGGACAGAGAGAGAGACAGAGAGAAACATCAATGTGTGGTTGCTGGGGGTCATGGCCCACAACCCAGGCATGTACCCTGACTGGGAATCGAACCTGCGACACTTTGGTTCACAGCCCGCGCTCAATCCACTGAGCCACGCCAGCCAGGGCGCAGCCCACGTGTTTCGTGCTCCCGTTTTTCTTTGATTTAGAGCAGACAGGTCTGCCCATGAATCGTTTCCACATTCTGTCTATTAAAGAAATTTAAGATTTATACCCCCTCCTAGTACTCGAAAGATAGCAGGAAGCTCAGAAATGTAAGGAGAGGGAAGTTCAAATAAAACAGACCGTCTGCAGGAAAGAGCTGGAGTCTCAGGACTTCCTATTTTACCTAGAAGGGCCAGCACAAATACCCCCCTCCCCCAAGTGCTTCGTCTTACTCACTGCCCCTGGAGGCCAGCTCCTCCCCCTGCTGCCCCCACCCTCCCGTGCACCCCGCCACCCCGCACACCAAGCCTGGAGCCCGGCAGGCGCTTGCTCGTCAGCCTGTGTTAAGGAATAAGCAGAGGCAAAGGCAAAAAAAGGAAAATACCTCGGATTACACGTGGTTTTCATTTCAGGTCAAAGTTTGAAATGCACCTCAGGAGGCAGACACAAGAACATTTTACAAAATAAGACCCGTATGAAGGCCGTCCGGTGAAACGAGAGCTGTCTTGACGAAAGATGAACGGTGCCCGGCGGGGAACCCAGGGAGGGGACGGCTTAGGCTCACTCGCGGAGTCGGATGACAGAGCATCCGTCAGGGCTCAGTGGAGCCGCGAGACCGCACTCTGATGGGTCGGGGAGCTGGCTTGGTCCCCGGTCGGTCAGTAATAAATCCAACGTCTCCGTCATCTCCAGCCCAGATCCCCTTCCCAGGTTTGAACTGCCGCATCACCCCCCGCCTCAGAGCCCTGAACAGCTGCTCGCTGCTTGTAAGGTGGAGCCCAGCCTCCTTGGCCAAGGGGACCCAGCCGCCCCTCCGCCCTTGCTCCTCCCCCAGAACCTCTCTTCTGCCTTGGAAGGTCCGGGGGGTGCAGCCCCCGGCCTCGTGGCCGTGGTTTCCCACCCCAGGGCGTCGGGCTTTGCAGCCTGCCGTGGGCGCTCGGGCTCTTGGCCCTGTGAGCCCGGTCGGGTGCTCTCACCCACTCGCTCCCCCCACTCTTACTGTCTGTCGGACCCCCACCCCTCTTCGCTGTGGCTCCTCCCAGAAGCGGCCCCCGCCTTCCTGGTGCCGCCGCTTTGTGCTCCTGGGTGCCCCGGGCGTGGTTGCATCAGCGGGTCGTTCTTCTGTAGGTGGAGGGTCTCCTGCACGACTCGGTGACCTCCTTCAGGTCGTGCTGGGGCGTGGGCACCTCGCACAGTGCCAGTGCGTGGCGGGGAGGAGGAGTGATGAACTGCCCGCCCCGTAACTGCCCGCTGAGGACCTGCCCCCGGAGGTCTGCCGACGCCTCGAATCCAGTGGGTGCAACGGGGACCTGCTGCTGCTGAGTGCCCTCCCCGCATCTATACCTCCCCGGCCCGTGCGTTTAGTGTTCACGTCGGAGACTTGCCACCGGCGCCGCGGTCGCCCTTTTCCTTTTCCTTTTCCTTGCTCACGGAGGCGTTATCGGCGCCCCAGCTTGTCCCTGCAGCGTCCTCCCATCAGCACCTGCGTGTCTGTGGTTCGGCCGTCCCCTCCCCGGAGCGCACCAGAGAGCGGGGGTTACTCTCTGTGGCTCCGACCTCTCCGACCCCTGATTAGTTGGTACGATGCCCGGTTTGTCAACGTTGTGGTCAGCGCCCTAGTGCCGCCTGCTCAGTCGCCGGAAACCGAAATCAGGGGAAGCCAGAAAAGAAGAAAATCGCCCGTAATATCTCCGTTTACAGTTAAACTACGGTTCATCTTTTGGAGCGTAGCTTACCTTACTGCGCACATAAAATTTTTAAGATCTCGCTGTTTATACCACGTTAACTTTCCACAAGCAGACTTTTGTTGACTCCTGGCTCACCCAGCCTGCTCATTTTTAACCAGTACAAACAAACACGTCCTCCTGCTGCGTGGGGCCCACTTACCTTCCTCCAGTTACCCGCACCAACCGCTGAGTGATGTCGCCCACAGCCTGGGGTGGTCCCCCTGCCCCCCCCCCCGCCCCCGACCACGTCTTCACTGTCAGCTGGTCCAAGGGACCGGCCTTCCCCCCAGCTCACCTGCAGCCCGCCTTCCACGTCCGGACCCCGGGGTCGTCTCCGGGGGCCTTTCCCGACACCCCCATCAGTCATACGTGACATCTGTCTTTACTCCAAATGTCGCTCGCCCTGCTTCGTACCGCCCAGGCTGCCTCCTCCTACAATTGTTTTCGTAACTGGTATCTGTCTGCCCGGGTAAAGTGAAATGGTGCTCGTGTTTCAGAGTCGCACCTCCTGTGCAGAAACACTGAACACACATCGGACGGAGGCAATGGCAAGGGACCCAGTGTTCTAACCCGGTGACGGGATGGGACACGGCTGTGGGGGCGCGTCAGGTTCCCTGCGGGCCCTCTGGGCAGGCGCTGGGTGTCACTCGGTTCACAGCGGCCTCTTTCTGTCGCTCGTGGAAAGCAGTGCCGTGGTTTCTGGGTCCCAGGTTTGGGGGACAGACAGCAGACTTACCTGTGCCAGCCTGGGAACGGAGCTGTCTCCAAGCTGCAGCCACAGTTGGAGAGTAGAGGTTGTCAGAGCATCCCCACCTTTTCTCCAAGTTTTCCCATCCCCGGGAGAGGCCCCGGCAGCCAAATTCCATCGATCGTCTTAATTTCTCTCCTACCGCTTTGTAAGCAAAACAGTTTGTTTTTAATGAAAGTTTTAGTAATCTATTCATACTCCTGGGGACATAAGTTGTTTTTCTTTCTTCATAAAACCCCAGTCAGGCGTGTCGTTTCTTTATTGACAATTTCTTCTATTTCTTTCTTTTTTTTTTTTTAAACTGTGTTGCTTCCCCGACTGGGAGGGACTTCTCGTTGACAGCACAGGGTTTGTCCTTGGTGCCAATAAAGCAGCTCCCAAGGGCTGTGTCTGCCGGGTTGGCCAGCACCCTTGGGCCACCGCCGCCGACAGCCTCTCGAGCTCAGCCAGTTGCCCAAGTCACAGGCTACTTTGTGTTCCTCCGCGATCGTATCTGCTTCGTGGGGGAGGGAACCCGAATGCCTTTGGCCGGTCTTACCCTCAGCCTGCAGCTGCGGTGCTTCCCGGCAGGCCTCGTAGACAACAGAAGAAGATGCCTCTGTCTCGGTACTTTCCGTCTCCATCTCGCTCTCACGCTCGGCCCCCGCCTCCCCCCGGGTGTGTATGGGGACGTGAAGGATCACCGTCAATAATGCCGTGGTCCCTGTGGGTGGTGCCGGCTGGGGACCGGGCCTGCCAGGGGGATCACTTTGTAAACTCTATGGCTGTCTAACCGCTCTGCTGCCCACCTTTAATAGAAAATAAGTCTGAGTGTCAACCATCAAAGGGGACCCCTCGTGCACTGTTGGTGGGACGGCAGACTGGTGCAGCCACTGTGGAAAGCAGTATGGCGATTTCCTCAAAAGATTAAACATGGACCTGCCAGCGATGACCCAGCGATGCCACTGCTGGGAATTTGTCTGGAGAAACCCAAAGCATTAACTGGAAAGAGTATGTGCACCCCTGTGTTCATCGCAGCGTTATTGACAGTCGCCGAGATTTGAGAAATGAAAGTACGAGGAAGGAGAGTGGTCAGCTGTGCCCCACGCAGCAGACCAGAGACTTTGTGGCGGGCAAAGCTCCCGAGTTCCTCGGCGAGGAGCCCGTGGGCAGCCGTGGGCAGTACCTGCCGGGAGAGCGGTGGGGTGAGGCGGACGATCGCAGTGGGTTGCAGAAGAAACGAGAAGTTCTGTAGTACAGATAAATCCCTTTTTCTGTTGTGTTTTTCTCCATTACTATTTATCCCCCCTGTGCCCACCCCCACAGTCGTCACACTGTTGTCCGTGTCCATGAGTCCTCCCCCTCCCCTCCCCTCTCCTCCCCTCCCCTCCCCCAGAGCTGTCAGCCAGCTCTCCATCTACGAGTCTGTCTCTGTTTTGCTGGTTAGTTCATTTCATTCATTAGATTCCACATATGAGTGAAATCATATGGTACTTGTCTTCCTCTGACTGGCTGATTTCGCTTAGCATAATGTTCTCCAAGTCCATCCACGCTGTCACAAGGGGTAAAATTTTCTTCTTTTTTACAGCTGAGTAGTATTCCATTGTGTGAATGTCCCATAGATGTTTTGTCCACTCATCTGCTTATGGACACGTGGGCTGCTTCTATGTCTGGGCCATTGTAAATACCGCCACCGTGGACAAAGGGGCACTGAACCAAAGGCCAACTCTAAATTGAAAGGAGTGGGAATGGTAGTATGTAGGCTGGGTGTCAGTAAGGCCAAGCACATCTTTGTCAACTTTGTGTCCAAAACGTGAAGGACACAGCAGGTGTGTTGACTACCAAAAGTGCCGTAGGGCCAGAACCATCATACATGCGTATTGGGAAACTGGGAAACCGTCAAAAACCAAGACGGTTCTGAGACCTTCCATCCTGCCCACTTCTCTCTAAGGACGGTGGCCTTTGTGTCTGTTTTGTCCTCTTTCTGTCATTCGCTTCCGTTTCCCACAATCTAAGTCCCAGAGGCACCGGATGGGCTGGCCGGGTCAAACAGCACTGTCTGCCTCGGGCAGGCTGCCCACCCCCCGCCCCAGCCTGGGCTGGGCTTTAGGGGTGGCTTACTTTACCCTCAGTCCAGCGGGTAGCCAGGGTTTCTGCAAACGCCAGGATGAAGAACTTTCTTGCCCAATAAAATGCATCTTTACATATTTCGCCCCAAAGCACTCGCTTTGATCTGGACACTTCTCACGCATTTCACTTTGCAGATTCTCTCTAGTTCTTAGCGGGGAGTTTCCTGCTTGATCTTCTGAGAAAGTGTTTATAATGGGGCCGTGCACCACAAACGCCATGCTCTTCCTCCCAGCCGTGTTTCCCCTTCCAGGGTCTTCTATGTACAAGGGTGGGGGGGGGGCAGTGCACGCTTGTGGGGCGAGAATTAGCCATGTCGACAGGCCAATCTGGGTCGGTTGTTGGGAGTTTAACCTTGGTGCGAACGGTCGTCCCTTGGGGTCCCAGCAGCGGCTTACATCAGGGGTAGGTCCTCACCACTTGTGCCATCTGGCCCGGGTCCCTGTGCTGTGCTGTGCTATCTCGGGAGCGTTTATGCGCGACTAGGAAAAGCCGAGACGCATGTGCATCTCGGAGGCTGTGCTTATGCCCCGGGGGTCTGGGGTGACGTGCCCACCACTTCTCCGAAGCTCCTGTCTGGACGTCATCTTTGTGAAGTAACACGGATGCGTCGCCGACTCTACTCTGAATATTGTCGCGGAAGTTCAACCATTCATTCTTGGGAAACGTTTACTGTCCCAGTAGGTTTGCTTCTTCGAGAAATGAATTACCATCTAAAATACAATTATTTCTTTCTGAAGGACTTAGTAATTGCTGTCCTTCCACGTTTCATCTTCCCTTCTATTCCTGAGCTGAACTTAGCACACTTGCACTCTGGTGTGAAGGACCAGCGCAAACAGGAATACGTTCTCATCAGACCCCCTGGGACAAGCAGTGACAAGGGAAACAATGCATCGCTGATGACCACGGGATGATGATTAGCAGGCCAGCGTGGCGGCAGAGGGTGTGGTGGTTGCGTGGGGTGTGACGGGTCCGAGAGATGAGTAAAGGTCGCAGCGGCCAGGGGCGAGGGCAGGCGAAAGGAGGGCGTTGAGGCGGGCGTGTTTTTTCACGGCCACTTCCCGCCGCCGCCTCGGGAACCGTCCGCTGGGGCGCAGCCTGCCGCTCCGGTGGCGCTCTGCGGGGAGACACGGGTAAAGAGGGAGGAAGAGGGGGGCAGGTCAGGGCGCGGCAGAGAATAACCAGGGGTTCAGTGATGCAGGCGGCTCTGGGTTCCGCGATGCACGCGCGTTACCAGACTCTACCGAGACCGGCCTGTCTTCCGATGTTCGTTCTTTCAGGCTGTGCTCCAGGCGCCAGGTAGCATTTTGAAGCTGCTGGAAATGCTTTGTGATTCGCTTTTTAAGTGTTTCAATGTTTCTAATGTCGCATGTTTCTCCTTCTTGCTGCAGCTACGAGGACGGCCAGGTGGGGGATGCGAACATTAACACGCAAGAAGGGGGCATACACAGGGAGATCCTCCGGGTGATCGGCAACCAGACCGCCACCGGCTAGAGGGCCGCCCCGCGCGCGGCCGGCGCGGCCTGAAGGCCTTCTCGGGTTCAAAGCTGGGTTTTGAACTGAAGAAGATGACGAAATAATTTATTGTTATGATGAACAAAATTAACCCTTTGAATACTGATTCTTTTCTTAGTATTTCTAAGTATCTCCTTAAATACCTAAGATGGTATACACACTTTATCAATTGTAGGGTGACGGGATCTAGTAGTAAAAATTACAGCAGCACTTAAACTGAAGTTTGGGTTGCTCCCACAATAAACAGATTGAAAAAACAGTTTCGCGCTGATATTTTTATATTAAACTCTTTAATTGGAAATCTGGAGTTACAATATCGACACTTTAGGTCGCCAAAATAGAACCGAGAGCGTTTTATAACAAAGTCTAAATCTATATGATACTTTGCAATAAGTAAAATGTCTGCACATTCTGATGTGCTGTATACTGAGTGGTAGGAGCATTCAGATATTTTGAGGAGGGATGCCTCCTATTCTCCTGTTACTTTTTCTTCTACAAAAACAATTAGGCTTCGATGCAATGCTTTGCCCAAAAGTTTGTATTCTTCACAACTGTAGGTTCATGCATCAGAACGCGTGCTCGTGCACATGTGTGTCTACATGCACATGTGTGTCCACATGCACATGTGTGTTTTGACAACAGATGGCATAGCTCCGCTGCTCTGTCTTCATTCGGTGAAGAGAAATCATGTTCAGTGAGCAGAAGTCTGGACCTAAACCAAGATATAAGCCAAATTTGCCATTACTGTTCATTCCCTGAAAATATTTGCAGGCAATTTTTCTATTTGTTTAAAGAATGTTTTCTTCAGGAAAACTCAGCTCTTTAATAATGTTATCTAAAAGTCATAATTTGGGAAAATAGATGCCCCTGGCGGACTAAATCCATATTCAAATGAGCCCATGCTTAATAAGAAGGCTTCAGAACTTAATTAGTACGCATTTTTATTTCCTACAGTGGAACATTTTTTTTAAATTTATTTAGAGCACACCAGCATTTTTATATTTTTTTCATCTAATACCTCTGCTTATTTTTTTCATATTGAGAAAGAAGACAAACTTTGACATTTCTTTTATATTAAAAGGCTGCAAAATAAGTTTCTGGAGAACAAGGACACCAGCGCCATCCTCCTCCTTTCAAGGGTCGTGTGCTCACCAGCGTCTCGTTTCTGTTGCTTTGTCTCGGTCGTTACAAGTTTTAATTGACAGTTTCCCTTTTCCACGAGACCTCTCTGGAGCAGGGCCATTCGCGAGAGCAGTTCAATGATCCCGGCTGCCACTCGAGTCGAACTTTGAATCAAGGCTCCTCCTGTCTGAGTTTCATTTCCATAGAAAGAAAAAAAAAATAAAAATGTGGCGTCATCCGTGAGAAAAATGCTGGAACTTCTGCGTTTATGTCCTTTGGTGTATAAACGATGAGAGAAAAGGTCATACACGGTATGAAGGGTTGCTATTTAGGAAGCCTTTACTAATCGGTTTGTTTTCTGAGATTGTAAATAATTGATTTCTGCAGAAAGAGACTGGAAATGGTTGGGATACTAACTGTGGTGGTACAGTCCACTGAACATGTTGATGTGTGTCATCTTGTACCTTTGAACCCAAATGAGACAGAGGACTGATGTTGGCATTCGAGGGCCAAGCGACAGCACCTCCTAGTGTCCTGGGAGCGGACATCCGAAGACTTCTGGTAGGGCAAGAGGGCTGCTTGCTTAACCCAAGTCCCTCTGACTGTGTCTTAAAAACATTTTTAAGCAACAAAATTATTTTTTCAAGTTAATTGTATGGGGCATTGTGTACATGCCATAAATATGAAGATGTAAGGGCAGGATTTGGAAAGTGAGGTCCTAGAACCCCCCGACCTGTGTGGCCATGAGGGCCACTGAGGCTCCTCCAGCGCCTTCAGGGGCCATGTTCAAACCACCGGCCTGACCCGTGGAGGGCTCACCAGACAGCGACCTGTCAGGAGTGTGGTGTTCGGATCCGAGCAGCAAGGGGGCCCCCTATGACCAGGGCCACTACAGAGAGGGGTGAGGAAAAGCTGGCCCAATAGCAACTTCTGCCGATTGAAGAGTGAAAGTAGAATCACCTCTCAGAGCAAGGGATGCAGTCCATAGTTTCAATGCCTAATAATACTATATAGACAACAGGCACCTGTTATGATAAGGCATCTTCTCATGATAATTAATGGGATGCTGTTGCGATGCAGAAGGACAAATTTTAAATTTGTTTCGAAAAACTGTCAGCTCCTTTGTAAGCAAATACTCCAAGTGGAGCCAAACTTTTCATTGAAACTTGGATGCGGGGAATACTGTAGTATACTGACGCTTACCTTTGTTTCTAAAGGATCTAATTTCAATAGACACCATTAGTAAATGAATAGCTTGCTTCCAGAGTCCAAGCAGGTCCTTAAAAGGTAGAAGTTTCAACATGACTATGACCATGCCTTGATTCAGTCACCACATTAAGATAATACTTATGGATGTATTTGCTGATTCCAAATGTGTGATATTCTTTTGTATTTATATAATTATTTGAAGTCTGTTCACTGCTGCTTTGTAATAGTTATATTAATTGTGTAGCCATTACTAGTGATACTAACCCTTTGAGCAAAGGGAATCATTTTCATCCCTGAAGGAGGGGAAGAAGTACCTTACGTTATTAGTTGTACTTTTTCTGGCATTACTGACTTTGTGACTATTTCAGTATGAATAATTTGTCACCGTTATTGTCCACTGTATTAAAAAAGGAAATGATCAAACAGTCAAAAAGAGGAAAAAAGCAATACTATACTTATGAAGTATTAAGGTACTTTAGCAGTGCCTTAGACTGTGTTACATTGAAATGACTTTTATTTTTGTTGCTCAGCAAATACTAGTCAAATGTTGGACTTGAGGGTGGTTTTTAAATTTAAAGTTTGAATATAAAAGTATAAGATTTAAATATAAGCCCTTAAACTTACCATCAAATACGATGACGTATAAGAAACCAGCCCAAACTATGGTTAATGCCCTGAATATTTCTCATTGAGAAATCTAGGCATGTAGAAAAGAAATCCTCAGTTATCCTCCCCTTCGCTAAAAGAAAGAAAACCCTTAATCGGCAAGTCTATAAATCTTCATCGTCATTGAAAGAATCTTAGCACTACTTTATCATAATTCTACAACTCGCTTAGGGTGTGGGGTCTCAGAACGTTGTAAGGATACGTTCATCACCCTTGTCAAAGTCCGGACGACTTGATCAGGTAGTAAGTTCCTACGTCTGGCAGGCCACTCACCCTGGACCATCTGCTGCCTCAACGGATGGATTTCACGGTGGCCCTTGAAGCACATTTTAATAATATTAGGATGTTATTCTATTGTCTTGATGAATTCTTCATTATAACACTACCTCAAGACAAGTGATAAACGGTTAAGGTAAATTGGGTTTCCAGTATGAGGAAGAAATGGAGTTTTACCAGTAGACGTCATCAAGTGATTCAGCCATCTAGACCGTCAGGACACAGATACTTGTCTGTTATCTCTCGTCAATGCCGTGATTGGATATTTCAGTCGCTGGCACGGGATGATGTGCTTAACGCCCAATGAGCTATGAGAGGGTATTGCAAGTGGCAAAGTTTGAAAATAACTAGTTCCCTTTAGGATAAGTTTTCTACATGGGCCAGTTGTCTCCCCTTCACCTAAAGCCACCAACAGTGCCCCCCCCCCCCCGAACAGCTAAAAGATTAAAATACCCAACTCCCGGGCCAGAACGGCAGACTGAATAATCAAGCATTTTGGCATCGAATGCCTGCTAAATTTTTGTCAGATTATATATAAATTTGATGTGTATATTATTATCCAGTTAATTTTTCTTGGGGGTTTTGTGTACACTATGATATATTAGGATAAGTTTTTGTAGGTCAAAAGAATTTCAAGTAGTTTTTAGACAAAACATACCCATGAGTGTGAAAAAGCCGTGTTGAAGAATAGATTACATTACACATTTACCAGCAAGTCCGTGAAAAATAGTGCTTATTTACAGAGTCAACATAATTTAATGTTCTAAAAATAATTTCTTCAATCTGCCCAATACTTAATGTATCATTTGAGGTTTTAAAATGCGCAGCCATCCTTTATGTAAACATTAAGATATGCCTATGTTTCTTTAACGATAGAGTCTCCTTGACAATACAGTTTTTGACTTTTGTGCACAAAAATAGTATTGCAACCTGCTATTTAGCCTTTGGTGCCTTAGAGTTATTATAAATATTTAACAATATGTACATAATGTAAATACTGCCAAGAGATCACTAAGGCCAAATATTTTCTCTATTCACTTTTTATTGCACTTGCTTTCTATTGCTACTTAAGCCTCTTTTATCCAGCTTTGTAATAGTTCTGACACTGTAGCCAATGTAAATGTTTACTTTCAATAAATCTGACTTTGTTCAACAAGTGCGGTATATGTGGGCGCTACTTTGAAAACTCGCTTAGGCTTAGATACTCCTCGTGAGGGATCTTGCTTCTGGGGACTAGGTGTGTGACGTCCTCAACACACTCTGAGAGTGATGTTGCCCTTTTCAGTCATAAGATACTTTTAAAATACAAAGGACTAAAAGGAAAAAAAAAACACCTCTTTATGCCAGTATTCCCCGAATAGTTGCGATAGATTTAACTGATTGTGTGAGCACCACTGTAACTTCAAATGATGTCAAGGAACACAGGATTGAAGACACTTTTGTACATTTTGTGTGTATGCTCTGTTTACAGACACCTTGGCATAACTTCAAACGGAGTGTTTCAAATGAACCGTCCGGAACTTTCTAAGCGCTTTGGACTTGACTAGAAATTAGAAAATGATTTTAAAGTGCCACTTTTTGTAAAACACATCTCATTTCACTGAATAAGACATGAGTCCGTACATGAATATGATTCTCTAAACACAACAGTAAATGTTTCTGAGGCGCTAAGTTTACATTCTCGCGATAGATAAAATAATTCTGTACTTACGTTACATTTGCAGCCGAGACCTCAGATACAAAGCCTCTGTCGTGGCCGGAAGGCGCTTTCGATCTGTTTGGGGGAAGGAAACAACCCCCGTTGGAAATAATCCGTGAATAACACAAGGCCAGCGATGCCGAGTGGAAAAGACCGAAAATGCAGGCCAGGCTGAGGGAAGGGACTGACTGGGTCCCTCACAGCCCGGGGGGACATAGCACCTAGGAAAGCCGGTTTAGGGATGCGAGGATGAGGGTGGGCCTCCCCAAACTCACGCGTGCTTTGGCACTCGGCAACTTCAGTGACGTTTTCAATCTTCACGTTTGTGCCAGCGAGTCGTGTACTCCTGATTTCTACTGACGCCGCGTTTCAGAATCTTTTTGCAACGAGGTCACAATCATTTGCTTGTACATCTGCTTTTGCTTTGTACGTAATACATATTTACAAGCACTTAAATATGTTTTGAATTTTTAGTGGTTCCTCCACCAAATGTTTTAATGCTTTTTGACTTGGTCCAGCGGCTTCGGGAGCTGCTGTTCCCTGCGACGTGTGTGCACAGTCCTCGCAGGGAGGCGCTGGCAGGGTGCGCTCTCACCCCCTCCGGTGACCTGAGGCTCCAGAGGCTTCCTTCTTGCTGTGTTTGGGAAAGCCGATGTTGAGATCCCTGAGAACGTGCCGAGGATTCATTTGGCTTCTCTATCCCTGTGTCCCAATTCCAGGCCCCTCTTGTAAATTATTTCAAATAGTAGTGACCTACAGCTTCTTCTAAGAGAATGAAAATTTCAAAGATGCCCACCGAACCCATAGTTAAAAACATCATGCTTTCTTGAATTTCAGAGGAGAGAAATTTTTGATGAGAGACAGGATTTGCTTTTCGCAGCCACTTTCTAATTTAGAAAGTCCTTTCACGTAGCTTGTCTCGTTTTTCACACAAAATAACTCTGTGGAGCTAGCAGGCCCCTCCGTCTCTTACAGGTGAGAGGTTGAGCACCTTGTCAAAGGGATCACCAGGCTCCAGACCCAGAGTGGGAGTCTCTGAGTCTTGTCTCTCCTTTGTAATAAGCCACACTTCTTACTGCTGAAGTCCCCGCTTGGGAACTGACACAGCAAACACAGGAACTGCAGGGGGCTGCGGGGAAGAGAGGTCCCCCAGCTCTGCGGTGCTCCACCAGGGGATGACCCCCGCACAGGCTGGGCGTGAGCTCACTTTAGAGAGTCTGGGGGGAGCGTCTGCACGTGGTAACTGGCCCGGGGAAAGTGTCGTCGGCCTGTGGGTGAGAGAGAGCAGGACAGCAGCGTGGGGGAGGCGTGCCGGCAGCAGTATACGGAAGGGCTTCTGAGCAAGGCAGGATGCCAGGCGTGTTAGCAGTCCGTTGTCATTCTGATGAAGGCACAAAGGATGGGACCAGGAACGGGGGGAATAACAGAAGGAAGGGACAGAGGATTTAGAAAGAAGCAGTAAGTGGGGAAGCCGGAGACCCAGTCTGTGAGACAGGGATAACGGAAGACACTGGGCATAATTTCCTTCTGGCCTTTGTGTTAGAGATCAATCAAATTCTTCTGTGCAGGAAAGGGAGGATCACCGAAGGCAGTGGCCAGGCGACTTGCTCTCTGGGCGCATGCTCAGTCCTGTGAAGGGGAAGTGTGGAGGGCAGATGCTGTGGGCCACGAGGGGGCGCTTGCAGACACCTGGCACCCTCACCCTGTAAAACCAGACCCCTCCACACAGCTGTGCGAAGACGGTCACAGCAGTTCAGCAGGTCTGTGTCCATATAACATCGTTTCTTTCCCAGACCTGTCGGATTGTGTGTGTGTGTGTGTGTGTGTGTGTGTGTGTGTGTGTGTACAGTGCAGTGTAGTCGGGGACACAGGCCCACTGCCCAGGACGGTGGCCTCTTCCGCTAGGCACTGCTTGGAAGACACTGCCCACCGCCGATGACTCCAACTCCCACCGCAGTCCGACGACCCCTGAGCCTACAGCTCTTGTTCCTCTGAAATCGGAGCGTCCAGTGTGTATGATCAAACGTGCCACGCACACGCCTCTTCCTCAGTGTCCCCAGGACACCTCACGTAAACGCAGCAGTGCCCCCGGCCCGCCCTTCCGCTCTCCTCGCTGGCCTCTCGGGGGTCCAGTGGAAGGTGCCACACCAGCACCCGTACCCGACCCCGGGCCCTCCCCCGCCATCCCCACCAATCAGCGGCCGAGCCGTTTCCATTCCTCCTTGTGCCCGGGGTACGTTGCGTTTTCCTGGCCTCTCCTGTGACTCGCTTTGGTAACAGGTACGCGGGTTATATCGGTATCACCTCCAGCGGCCCTCCCTGACGGAATCCGGTGCCCTCTGCTCAGAACAGATCCTTGGCCCATGCGAGCAGCGCAGCCTCGGGATGGCTAGGACGCTGGACGCGCTGTGTGCCCGCAGACTCTGCCTGGAGTGCCGCGTGCCCAGACGCAGCAAGGAAAGGGTTGACCCCGCACCCGAGGAGACCCTCCTGCTGCACCTCGGCCTGGGCTAAGTAGGCTCCTGGGCGTGTTTAACGTCACCCCTGGCTCGGCCCCCTCTCAGCGTGCGGAAGCTACGCTGATCTTTCTAACACGCAAGTCTGATTTTGTAAACCCCTGACTTAAAATCCTTCTGTGTCTCCCAATCTCTCACTCAGTAAATACAGACTCCTGGCTGCTGCCTCCCTCTTTGACCCCTGCAGCCCCGCCCCCCCCGTGGCCCCTCCCCTCGGCCAGAGGCTCCTCACCTCCTCCCATGGCTCCTTCTCTCTGCCTGAGCCCCACTCCCACCTGCAACTTTTACTCCTCGTGGGCCACCATCAGTTTTCAGCCCGCGAGCTCCCAGCCTGCACCAGATGGTTCTGCATCCCCGAGCGTCTGACCGCAGCCCACCCCTGTCACTTAGCAGACGACGAAGAGGCTGACGGGTTCGCCTGCTTTCCCCCACCCCCCTCTTCCACGCCACCAGCACAGGTGGTCTCCGGGACCTGATCAATGTTTGGCACTTGGCACAGAAACAAGTACATTATACATGTCTGATGAAGATGATCTTGAGATGAAGTGACAGGAAAGCTAAAAATCTTGAGAATGTTTTATAATTGGCATATAACTTTCATAAATGTAAACTGTCCAGCAGGTGGAATATAACAAGCCAAAGTCGTCATCATCATCATCATCATCATCATCATCACAGGCTCCAGCTCTATCACCTGCAGGAAAGGTAGGAATCCTTGGATGTTGGCATCATCCACCTTGTCACCCCTGAAGTATACATTTTCGCCTTCTCATTTTTCATCTTGACTTTGGGTCAAGCAATACCTGGATTATTGGAAGGTCATTCTGAGGGCCCAGAATGAAACATAAAACTGGATACTTAACCAATTTATAATTTAATGTCAGTAATTTGCATAACCAAAGGATCATTGCTTTGCTAAATAATTACCTTAAATAATGAACTTCCTCAGCACATCTAAGAGTTCGTTTACAGGTCATTAACTCCTTGACATACATAGCAGATGACACTTGAAGCTAGAGGACTGACATTCATTCCCAATAAAAATAAATCAGAGGTGGAACTAAGCACATCTACAGTGGTAAGCCAACGGGGAAGTAAATTTCCTCCCAAAGGGACTGCATTCCTCGAACACGGTATAAATTGTAACGGACGTGAATTTTATTACACTAACGGCTCTGTGACATCAACTTAAATCTTTCAGCTGTGTAGTTAGGAACATTTCTATTCTTTACGTGTTTCTCGGTTAACTTCTGGGATTACATATTTCTTAATAGTAGTAGGCTCACGGCACAGTCAGTTCTCTAGTTCCCACGTACAGCGGCCGTGGAGCAGTGTAGCTTTCTGCAGCTTGTTATTTGGAATCCTTTTTCCCTGAATTTCTGCCTACAGCCAACCTGCCCATAACTGCAGGCCAAACTCGTGCACCCTCAAGGACGGACATGGCTCTGTTCTGGAGCGCCCGGCCATAAACGATGCCCTTCTGCTCCGGATCCCGGCCGTGTTCTGGAGTTCTCCTGCAGCGCGGACTCAGGGGTGCCGCTGTTCCCGGGGCTCTTCTGTGGGAAACACTGCATCCCCGAACACCATGCGCCACGGCCCCCTCCCTCGCCACGGCCCCCTCCCTCGTCTCTCTCTCGGCTACTGGGATGGGCCGAGTCACATGACCTTACTCTGTCCCTGGTTTAATTTCGTAGAACCTTGCAATTCCACAGCGTTTCCAACTTCTCTGTTAGCCTGATTGAAGACAGGGACAAAGAGTGGGTCCGACCGTGTTGCACTGACGGTGACCACCGTCTCCATGTCTCTCATGCCTCCTCCGCCCCTGCCACCAAACCGGGGGGACCTGGAGGACAGAGAAAGGCAGAGGCACCATTTAGCTGCACGGCAATTTCATGAATGACAGATTCGCCGCTCACGCCCCCT